CTTTCAAAATCTTCTTCTCAAGAACCACTGGGCCAGAAAAGCTGAAACTTATGTGGAAGCATCCTGGGGTAGTGTAGATTCTAAATTGTTTAAATCATGACCCCCGGGGGTAGGATGGGGCCACAATAGGGAATCCAAGTTTTACATTGAAATATATATAGGAAAAATCTTTCAAAATCTTCTTCTCAAGAACCACTGGGCCAGAAAAGCTGAAACTTATGTGGAAGCATCCTCAAGTAGTGTACACTCTAAATTGTTCAAATCATGACCCAGGAGATAGGGCGGGGCCACAATAGGGGGAATCCCAAGTTTTACATTGAAATATTTAGGAAAAATCTTTAAAAATCTTCTCAAGAACCACTGGACCAGAAAAACTGAAACTTATGTGGAAGCATCCTGGGGTAGTGTAGATTCTAAATTGTTCAAATCATGGCCCCAGGGGGGAGGGTGGGGCCACAATAGGTATTACAAGGGGAGAAGTCTGGTAATGAACAGCATGGCCAAAGTTACTCAGGTGAGCGATGTGGCCCATGGGCTTCTTGTTTAAAAATTTAATATAGTGTATGTTTCAAGATTAAACGACGAAAAGATGTTTTGGTTACGAACGCAGGTCGCTGGTTCACACGCAATGGATCTCTTGTAATTTCGGCCACAATAATTTAATAAGTATATCACCAACATGACCAACATAGATAAGATGAAGTAATTTGAAAGATCCGATATTAATAAAAAAAAAAAAAAACAATTATCCGTACATAGTTGAATTTGCAAAATAGATTTAGAACGACAATGCCTGTTTAGTGTATGGCCACTGATCACTGGATCTAGGTCACGCGTGATCAGGGGATGGCCGGTTACGTAACTATAAACAAAAACAAACCCCGAGACGTATTGAAAATGTGTGACTCAATAATTTGGAATGAAACCACAGAACACGTAAAAACTTATTTTAAAAGTAATATTAGTATTTATTTTGGATAGGTTTATCATTTATAGCAAGTTTATTTCAGTTATGCGCATAAAGATTTCACCTTCACTTGTCTAATGAAACTAGTTACCTGTATATGGGTTAAGCTTCTAGCTCATTTATTAAAAAAAGACTTGAACAAAATAACAAGTTCATGAGATCAATAATATGTTAAAGAACAACTTTTTAGCGACAGCTATATCGAAATATTTACCGTTTTTGAGTTATAAAACGAAAACTTTCAAGGACCCTAGATCCCTGATATAAGGGACCAGCCCCTTTTTGGTGGTGCCAAATGAAAGACCTTAAAATTGTGCACAACTTTAATTCAACATGTCTTAACAAAATATTTTTAGTTTAAAAGATACATAGGAAAATATGTGTAAATTTTCGCTCTTTTAGGCATTCTAATTTTTGACCCCTATCTAGCGCCATTTTGAACACAGGAATCAAAAAACAAAAATAGATGTGCACAACTTCAATGCTTCTATTATTTAAATTCGGTAGAATTTCTGCTCCAGCTTTTGTAGTCTCGGAGCCTTTATCTGGAAATGAAGCCTACTAAATTTTCATTTAAAGGGAGATAACCCAAAAGCGGAAGTGGATTTTTGACATGTTTGACATTACTCTGATAGAGTTTTGTAATGTCTATAAACCCTGCAAATTTGAGCAAATTCCATTGAGAAATGAGCAAGATATGAGGCCTCAAAGTTGGCGTCTAGAAAGGAGAAGAAAAAAAAAAGAATAATAATCTTAACCATCAGAATCAGTAGAAGGTCTTCCGTCACAACGGAAGACCTTAATTATTTGAACACTTTATTTGCAAGTATTTTCTCCACGGAAGTAAACAATAGTGATTTCTGTTCATTGATACTTTGTCGTCTCTTAACATTTTTCTTGGGGGTAAATGCCATGTACCATATATTGAAAATTAGATAGATAAGCTCAGTATTTACACCTTTATTCAATATAATTTTCTCAATGTCCAAAAAACATTTTGCACTGGTGTATAGAGGGTCCTTAAGGCGTAAAAAAATTAATATAACTTGATTCTCAGGCCAGTTTCCTAAAAAGTAAATGCGGGAGGGAGGAATTTTTTTTCCTTTTTATATCATAAAAACAGATGCAGGATTTTTGATTTTTTTTTTTTATTTCAGAACTAGCAACTTTTAATCAACAGTGCTTCAGCATTGACTGTAGAAATCAAGATAATTTATGTCCTGCTTTTTTCTCTTTTCTCTTGCATCCTCGACATCCTAAAAACCAGACAAGTGTTAAACTTACAGAACCCAACACTTTTAGTGAAAATGTATGACATTATGCTGTCTACACCACAGGTCCCGCCATGACTAATCTCTACTTTCGATTTAAGCAGAAGTGAAGCAGAAGTACCGATGATTCGTGTAATGAAACGACGGCATCCTAAAAACCAGACACATGTTAAACTTACAGAACCCAACACTTTTAGTGATGCATCTGGTCAATTGTTACGTAACACAACTAATCTAAAAGTGTTTCAGCACTGTAAATAGTGCTTATGCAGCAATTTTTTTTATTCCAATCTCATTACCTATTACTCCAGTGATTCATTTTGAAAATGGTTATTATGGGTCCAAAGGACCCCTTTTACTGACAACAATGAGTCCCATGCCAAAACCAATGCGTCCAAATCCAAGGGTACTCAATGGTACCGCACATTAGATACTACAGAGGAAATTCTGGTGAAATAGAAAAGGGGTTTTGTCCGAAAGTGCAGTTGTTTTATTGAAGCTGTGAGTGGTTTATACTATAATTACTATCAATTGGAAGTAAGAATAAATGATTTTGTGGCATATAAATAATATATTGTCAACTGTACACCTTGGTTCTATTTTTAGATCGTACATACGATTTCACATATAGTTTGTTGCCCTATACAAAATTCTGTCAGAAAATGCACAGAAGCAGACCAGTTGTTCTATTAAATGAAGTAAAGAAAATTTTCTTTAAAAAAAAATAACCTGAGAGAAGAATGATCAAATACTTAATAGCTTCTAAGGAAGAAATTGAAATTATTCAGGTTACGTGTGTACAGCTAAAATACAAACGTATACAACTGGTATAGTATACGCTTCAGAAATGTTCCACAGCAGACAAAATTGAACTTTCTTTTTCTGACGATCGACTCATTGTTAACTGCAATTTAACAGTGAAGTGTGAAATCTGACCTGTTGTTGACAATCTTATACCTGTTAAAATCGCTCATGCATATCGCTTAGCACGTGAATATGATGCAATCGGCGAAGTTTTGAAGCAGATTATACCGAAATAATTTAAAATAATACCTTTCGTTTTACAAATTAAATGCGTCCATTGGGATGCACATTTATTGAAATAATGCGTCCTGAGCAAAATTTATGCGTAATTTACGCAGGACGCACATCAAAATGAATCACTGATTACTCCATGTTGTAAAGAATAAACAACAAGTATTTATTGTTTTTCATATCAATGTCCCCTGTTTTTGCATTTTCATGCTTTCAATTTGTCAAAATGTGTAGACAATATGCTGTTTACACCACAGATCCCGCCATATGACTAATATCTACTTTCGATTTAAGCAGAAGTGAAGCAGAAGTACCGATGATTCGTGTAATGAAACGACGGCATCCTAAAAACCAGACACATGTTAAACTTACAGAACCCAACATTCTTAGTGATGCATCTGGTCAATTGTTACGTAACACAACTGATCTAAAAGTGTTTCAGCACTGTAAATAGTGCTTATGCAGCAATTTTTTTCTACCCATTGGGAAAGGGTCCGGTATCGGTTCAATTGGGAAAATTGCATCGAAGTAGAACAGAGGAGAATTTTCTGTCATTTAAACAAATGAAACGTATTTTGCATTTATTCCAACCTCATTACCTATTACTCCGTGTTTTAAAGAATAAACAACAAGCATTTATTGTTTTTCATATCAATGTCCCCTGTTTTAGCATTTTCATGCTTTCAATTTGTCAAAATGTATGACACTATGCTGTCTACACCACAGGTCCCGCCATATGACTAATCTCTACTTTCAATTTAAGCAGAAGTGAAACAATTAGTCAACTTGTACATGTTTCATATAAAAAGAAATATGATGTCATCGTAGTCTGTTTCTTGGAAGTTGAATTGGGAATTTTTAGTCTCAGAATTGGTAAAAAATTAATGTTTTTTGGCATTGGAAATGGTACCGTTTATCGGTACCAGTTATATAAGGAAAAAACGCTGTTATGATTTTATTAAACATTGTCAAATTTATCAGTCTTTGGTTTATCCACACTAAATAAAATCTGCAAATCTTGCTGCATCCAAGTTCCGAGGTTGAGGGAGCCAGCTTTTATAGCATTATTGATCGAGTTCTAGCATGGAAAAACCTTCAAAAACCCCCATTTTGTACCATGAAAGTATTACAGTCATTCCCTTATGAATTTGCATTGAATTCAATGCCATCACGATTCTTAATCTCAACACCTTATCCTGTTAACTCGATGACCATATTTGTGATTTTTAATTAGGCTGATAGTCTGGATCATCTTGATGTTTGTCAAACATTTTACTGATTTCTAAAATACAGTCAAAATGCGGTCGGGAATTCGGGATTTTTTTTTTTTTGGCACCACATGAGCGCATGAGAGAAATTTTATTTTATTCATTTGAGGATAAAAATGGGTAATGCACATTGTTGAATGAGATGCTGGTGGGCCTGAGAACCAAGTTATTAATTTTTTTAGGCCTAAGAAATGTTTCAGACAGGTAGCCTTGAAAAATCTAACTGGTTTGATTAAGGGAAGTGGTTTTCATTAGAAATAAAGGAGGAAATATTCAATGGATGTAAACATAAAATGATAGGGGTTTCATTCATATATATATGTCAGGAGAAGTTAGATTTAGTTGAGCATTGTGGCCACTTGCTCTCTTATTGTGAAAATGTTCATTAGTTAACAAATTGAATATTTTTAAATTCATAAACCTTTTACATTTTTGAGTGTAGTTCTTTTTTACTTTCAGCAGGTGTTGCCGAGAGCATATGGTAAGTTTAAAATTCTCAAGATACAAGCACTTTCGTAAGAGCCTGTATATTTAAGGCTGTGTAATATTAGTGTCAATAGAAGGTTTAGATTAAGTATATAATTGTTAGACCATGATATTCATAGATTTCAACCAGGATTGGCAAATTAGTTATTCAGAAATTGCTTTACAGGACTTCATTCTGTATATGCTCAGTATTGGCATAATCACTGGTCCTCGATCTGCAGGAACAGGTATCCATCATGTGCACTTCAGTATCACACCTGTTATTTTGAAGTTTAATGTACATAAAACATTTTTGAACCAAAAGAAATAAAATTACTTTTTTCCCATTCAGGTTTTATGAATATGATACCTTATAGTTAATGAGAAACATTAATTTTTATGCCCCCGTATTGAAGATTCGGGGGTATGTAGTTTTTCCCTGTCCGTCCGTCTGTCTGTTTGTTTGTCCTCAAAAACTTTAACCTTGCCCATAACTTTTGATTGGTTGGAAGTATGGCTTTCTTATTTCACATGTGTATTCCATGTGACAAGACCTTTCTTTGGGTACCACCATATTTGACCTTTTGACCTTGACCTTGGAGTTTGACCCAGTTTTGCAAAATTTTACCAAACTTTAACCTTGGCCATAACTTTTGAACAATTGGTGCTAGGGCTTTCATACTTCGCAAGAGTAATCCTTGTGACAAGACCTTCCTTTGAATACCAACAACTTTCACCTTTTGACCTTGACCTTGGAGTTTGACCTACTTTTGAAAAACTTTAACCTTGGCCATAACTTTTGAACAGTTGGTGCTAGTGCTTTCATACTTCACATGTGTAATCCTTGTGACAAGACCTTTTTTTGTATACCAACAACTTTGACCCTTTGACCTTGACCTTGGAGTTTGATCTACTTTTGGAAAACTTTAACTTTTGCCATAACTTTTGAAGGTTTGGTGCAAGGGCTTTCATACTTCACATATGTAATCCTTGTGACAAGACCTTTCTTCAGATACCAACAACTTTGACCTTGACCTTTGAGTTTGACCTATTTTTGGAAAACTTTAACCTTGGTCACAACTTTTGAAGGATTGGTACTTCAGCTTCATATTTCACCTGTGTATTTCTTGGGAGAAGGCCTTTCCTTGGGCACCATTAATTTTGACCATTTGACCTTGACCTTGTTGCACCACTTGCAAATGCTTCTTTTTTAATATAACTGTTGAAATACATGTGAAAACTGCCTCAACGATCCACAAGCAAATTTAGATTTTTGTAATAAGATGTATACAAATCATTTCGTGATATTAAGTACTCCCATAAAATATATAAGAAATAAGGCAAAAGTAAAAGGAAATTTGATTTGTAGCTTTGACAATTGATCAAGGTATGATGTACCACTGGTGTGATTTAAACAGGAGGTAAACAGTATCTGAGTATTTGGCATACAACATAAACATGGAAAAATCTCTGTATGCTGTACAGACAAAGTACTTTACTGTCAAACAAGGAAAATTTTGTAATATTGAGAAATGTACTAGCAGAGGCCAATCTTACAAGGGGCATACGACTCTTTTTAAAGAATAGAAGCTTTTTGGTTAGAAGTACAGAAAAATATTTTGAGGAGATATGGGGAGGGGGGGGGGGGTGTTTTCAGCACATGATCTCAGCTGGTAAAGGTGTTCTGCGTGTTGAGGTGTTGTTGACTTTTTCAGATTGACCAGTGTGAGGTAGATACAGCCTTGTTGTTCGGCCTGTCAACATGTTCCATGTTTACTGTTCAGTATTTTGGCACTATTGTTATTTCAGCATGACAGGTGCACATGCAGGACCAAGTTCTATAAATAGAGTTTTAGTGTTTAATGTATGGGTTTTCCCCCAGAGTTGCAAAATTGAATACAGCATCCAAAATTGACTCCCAAAATTTCCAAATCTCCAGGATATCTGATGTTCAAAAAAAAAGTGTCAATTTAAAAAATTGTTTACGTAGAGTTACAGTGTATTTATTCATTGTAACACTTGTATTGTTAAAAAAAAATTTCAAATGTACAATGTAATTTATGTAGAGTTTAGATGTGAAATAAGTTCAATGTTCTTTGGGGGAAATTCTTTGTAGTTGTTGATAACGATGGTTTACCTTCGTAATATAAAATTCTGTGCATTTTTCAGTTGGACTACATGGCATTGATAATTCCTGTCCTTGTTTCAGAACTTAACTGTACAATTACTTGAAAATAATACAGAGCATGTTGCAGTCTTTCTCAAAATACATTTTGTTGGTCGGATTGCGAAGCAAAGTCTGGATTTTAGGTTGTAATGGTGATGTTTTGTTCAACTGTTACCTACAATCAGAGTATGATTGTCAATCTTAAAAACTAAGTAATCGAAGAGGAGTTTGTTTGAAGTTAATTTTGACTTGAGATAGGTGTGAAACATCCTTGTTGAGGATGACCAAAGATAACTTGCAAATTGAAAGAAGAAGAAAATGATCTTGATACAGCAGAGCTTGACCTAAGCCTTCACCTTCGACAGTGAAAATGAGATATTTGATGAGTTTAAAACCACTGTTGGGAAACATTTTATAATAATCCTCTTTGAATTTCATGTACATGAATACAAAATGGATAAAGCATTTTTTAATACAATAGTGTATGTTTGAGTTTTCTGTTTAAATTAGTTTAAAAATAAGAAACTGCAGGGGAATATATTTCTGTATCTATTTTCCCCATCTATAGAGCAAACAATTTAGAACTGGTCATAAATAAGATTATTTATCCAACTGTAAATACTTCGCAATCCGGCCATATTGTCTTTAGCAATTTCTTGTTCTAATTTTTTGTGAACTTTGATATTGTTAGATTTTTGATTCATAATGCTCTAGTACTAGTTTCCAAATCTGTTGGGGATTGAAAAGTTCTTGGTAAATGAAATTCTGTATTTGACAAAGACTGTTTAAACAGTAGCCACATGACTAATAATACATTGTTAAGAATGTTTGTTTCAGGCGTTGATTCGCTGACAACGGATACATTAGGTACAGATTTATTTATATGACTAAGTGCATGGTCTGATCAGTATGTCTTTAACAATTGAAGTTGCACAATGATGATCAGTTTGCATACAAAGGTCTTGAGCTTCATCTGTGTTTAAGGAGCATGTCCAATTTACCAGAATCATCCTGATGAATGTGATGTTTGCATGTCCTGTAGTTATAAATGATTGCTAAGTACATTCTCTTTATGTTTTTTTTTTAATACATCTATACTTCTAAAGTCTTATTATGTTTGCAGTGCTCATTAATCCAAGTGTCAGAAATAGGGGGTTTTCCTTGCAGAAATTAATGGAATAGCTCTTGTCATGGAAGAATGATTTTTAGCTTACCGTGACAATAAATTTATAGAGTTTATACAGTCAGCATCCCTGTCCCTGTTTAAATTTTATTTTGGTTTTGGGAGCAGATTCCATTCCAGAGTAACTGGTGACCAAACATCCATTTTCAAGATGAGTGACCAAGTTCAATTTATGGAACAGGTCCATTCCCAAGTAACTTTGAGTCTTAGGGTGACTAAACTTGCATGAATAATTCATCTAGGGATGTACACTACCACATTTGCTTCAGGTGCTGGATTTGACTTACATTTTTCAGATGATTGACCAGGTGAAAGGGTTTGGAGCAAGTTCATTCCACTTTCCTAACTCATTTTCCTTAAGATTTGTGACTCTCCTTCCCATTTTAAGAGAAGTCTATGTTTCCTAAAAGGGGGGGGGGGGGTCAACCCCAAGGTTATTTTTCATTACTTTTACATAAAATTTTTTAACAGGGGTTGGGTTCTGGACCACTCTTCCCCTCTAGAACTGCACATGTAATTAATTGACAGTTCAAAACACATTTGCTATGGAAGCAAGATGGCACTTAGCTGTGGGGAGGGGGGGGGGGCATAACAAAGATTATTTAATTTAATTGGAAAGACATACCTAAAAAGGTGGCGTTTTGTAAAAATGGGGATAATTCAAGAATGACTGTAATAAAGGAGATGGGCGAACATAGCGAGCAGAAAGCCTATAGCTTCAGATATATAAAAATTCGTGCTCAGTTTGTGAATTTGATATTTAGAGTAAAGTTCTCATTATTGAAATTTATGAAATTGTGATAAACAAAACTTTTCTGAGGAAAATTTTCTCGTCAAAATTTATTCTTTTATTAAAAAAATTAATGTAGTATTCATGGGGTTGGAACCCTTGCAATAAAAATCCTGAGTATCATTTTCTTTCGAGACTAGCACGCTAACCACTTGACTACACAAGTCCTGACGAACAGTGGCATTTAAATCATGCTTGTGATATGACCCTTGACTTAATGGACTTCAATTATTTCTCAAAAAGATGCTAATGTTATGTCATAAAAGTATATTTTTAAGGTATAGTGGGTCATTGCTCCATATTTTTGGTAACCAAAAAATGTATATTTTTATGCAAACTTTGAGGATTTACTTTCAAAAAGGTGGAGCGAAGACCCACTCATATCGAAAAATAGTATTATAGTATGAGAAAATGACTCTTTTTGCCCGCTTCAGTGTGTGTCTATTTTTTCACAGGCAAATAATTTCAATCTTTGAGGGATTTTTGCAAATTGTAGAGATTTTACATAAAGTATATTTTAATGTTAGATGAAATATCAAGGAAAATTTTGATATAATTGAAATTTAATTTTTCATCTTCATGTTTGTCACACTATAGGCTTATCGCTCGTCATGTTCACCCATCTCCTTTCAAGGCCTTTTTTTTTTTTTTTCAGGAACTCGAGTTAAGTATTTTGTGAACAAAAGTCAAGTTGTCAAGAATTACTGGAACCCCCCCTCCCCCCCCCCCCCCCCCCCCCACACACACACACACATACACACAAAGAATCTTAAATGATTCCAGTTTACCTTCAACCAGAATGAGTATGTAGGATCATTGTTGCATATATATGACAAGAACAGCTGATCTGTCTTTGTTAATTATTGTTCTAGTGCATATCATACGAGTCTTCTATACATGTGTACTGAAGTTTGTTGTATTGTAAGTGATGTGGTGTCTGGCTGTTTGCATGTTAACAGATAAGTCTGGAGTATTGTTATACAAAGTCTCTGGATTACTCTGCTATACAAGTGCCAGTTTTTGTTGTCTTGATAAAGTGTGATATAGTTTTAATGGATGAAGTGTATGTTGAGTAATATGTACACTAACTTTGTTATAATAAAAAGTCACAGAAAATGGTGATAGGCTGATAACACTGCTTATTAAACAGGTTGATGTGAACTAAATGCACAGCAATGGAATTTTAACAGCACGTTAACTTACCCTTGAACAGGCATCTGTATATTAACAATAAAAGGTTAAGGATCTGAAAAATGGGTTTAAATTTTCCTGGATAATTTTTGCAAAAAAAAATATAAATTTCATTACAATGTCTGTCATGTAAATACAGTACAAGAATTATAAACAAAGAATACTGTATGTGTACTTTAAAAAGCGGGCTTCATATTTTAGCGGCTTTTGCGCAGACAACGATGCGCTTATTCATGAATACTGCTAAGAAATCTTCTATAAATACAATATATGGAACGGACATGTATAGCGCTAATTCATGATTTCCCCAACAACTCCATACCCAGTGATTGTGCTAAATTTTGAATATGCCAATTTATGTACACGTACAGTATATTATACAAGTTCTCACACCTGGAACAAAATTGTGATCATAGAATAGAGTTTTCATTTAAATGAAGAAAATGGTGGTGCATTGAATGTGAATGGTTGTTTTTGGTTTGTAGATGCCTCTATTCCCGCAGGAACAGTTCTGTTAGCCAATGGAGTGCCTTATACATATCAGAATGGGATGGCTATTTTCCATGCCCCAGAGGGAGGTTATCCTGTAGCCCAGCCACAAATCAGTTCTGTACGTTCACAGAAAGCATGAATGACCAGTGTTTTCATTAAAAATGTGATAAGCAACACTACAACAATTAATGATGAAATGAAAGATTTAGATTTGTTTGATTAATGATCCCCATAACACGGTAAGGCCAGAGAAAGATAAATGTAGATTGTAGATAATGTTTATAAATTACAGAGCTCCAGATAAGGTGCGTATTTGCAGAAATATGCATTGATTTTTTCAAAATACGCATTGAAAATTAAAACAGGGTGTACACGTACGCATTAGCAATCATAAATAAGCATTACACTACGAAAGTACTGCGTACATGTACGATGGATTGAATGATACAAGTACTAATTATGTGAATTGAGGTCAGCTCAGTGTTTGAATTTTTGTCAAGATGAAATTTTAATTTATAAGCGTATTCGGAATAACCTAGGCTGATTTCCAGTTCGGGAGAAAGATTTGAATATTAAATACTCGTAATTTGTCTGAAAATATTACAGATTTCCACTGTTCATATAACATCCAAATTTTCGTTCTTGTCGCGTACGTGTCGATGCAGTCGTTTTTCCAGTAACGAATATTTGCCAGTATCGAATATTTTTTAATTTAATTATTCTTGACAAACATAGTGACGGGTTTAAAATTTTCTTACTAGGTAAATACAATAAAATGATGAATGTTCTATCCCTGTGTTGTGTCTTTGTAACATCTGCTTGATTATTTTTCACACCATTTACAATTTGAAACAATGACCCAGATTTGAACACGCGCAAGTGCAAGTCATAGAAAACGAAAGTGTGTGAACAAATGCGTCTAAATCAAACTTTTCAGTGTGCTGTTAATCCAGAATGAATATGTTATCAATATTTAGGATAACTGTAACTAGTTTAAATATTAAAATAAATAATAGTTGACTTTAAAATGAAATTATAACATCCAAACTAACCACGTGTTGTTTTCCTAGTTTCGAATCATGAATTTTCGAAGTTTGAAAAATGTCGTTTTATGGGATGCAAGAACTCGAAAAGCTCACAGAAGTGAAAATACTACCAAAATAAATTACAAGCAAAGGTATTCCATGAAAATTATGTCTTTGAGATGGTTAATTTAATTTTGATAAAGCATATCACGAAAAGTTTATCATAAAATGCAAAATTTTTCATACTGTTTAGTTTTAGAAAAAAAATCATTTAAATCAACAAGTTATGTTAATATACTCTTTGTAGACTTTTCTTGAAGGCATATTTCAACAATAATTTCGACTCGCCGATTTTATTTATTGGGTCAGCAGTAGTAGAGGGCGCTCAATTCGATACTGAAAAATCAATTCAAAACTAGGAAAATAGGGAGATGTTGTAATTGACATCTCTGTGCCTGTACCATTCATATTTCGGGAATTTTGGTACCACTTATTTGAAAAGCATAGAAATACAATTTAAATAACAACCAAGAACATTTGGAACTTCGACCATGTAAGTTGCGTGCAAGACGTAACAACAAACTGATTTGTTACCGGTAAAACGACTGTATTGTCAAAATTCTGCAAAAACATGCATGGTGTCTAATTTATCCTTTATCACTGTTTATTAAACAGTTCTTATATATTTACCATTTTCTGTAGCAATAATATCATCTAAAGTCCACCGACAACCTTTATTAATTGTATGAAAATAAATGCTTTTTTGCTTTCCACATGGCTCCTTTGCTATAAATAGCGCCACACAACTTTTAATGCAAACGGGGAGTAACTCAAAAACTTTTACCTCGATCGATGCTAACAGTTTATATAGCAAAACCTAATATTTTTCATTAACCTAATTGATAAATGCAGAAACTGTCCTTTTTTTACATTCCTCTTTCAAAAACGCTTATTTCGATAACAAGCTGAAAATCACATTGGATGTCAAAAGAGCAATAGATTAACAAAAATACTTTTTGATTATTTTGCTGAAAAGCAAAATCTGCATTGATTTGAAAATCAGGGAGTAAATACACTTTGAGGTAAAAAATTATCTGGAGCTCTGAATTAGATAGAATTTTTATTCAGAACATATCCTATTAAAAAACCTGAAAAATGTCAATGAAAGGAGCTACAGAGTATAAAGTACTCATATCAAGAATATAAAATATACAAAATAGTGTCCCTGGCTCACTTCAGGGCCATAATGAGGGGTTCATATGAGGTAAGTAAGATCAAACTTATTCTTCCGATTATGGGTGTATATTTGTGTGTAATATTTTTTGCAATATAGTGAGGAAATCCAGTGTTGATAGAAAGTGAAAAATGTCATTTCTCACTTCAGGCATCCCTATCAGCAATGATGGTCCCTCAGACTCCAACAATGTACCTAGCTCCTCAGTACACATATCCACCAGTAAGTTGTCAAGCAAACACTTTCTTTTTTAGTTCACCTGAGCTGAAAGCTCAAGTGAGCTTTTCTGAACACATTTTGTCCGTCCCAGAACCACTGGGGCCAATTTCAACCAAACTTGCCACAAAGCATCCTTAGGTGAAGGATATTCAAGTTTGTTCAAATGAAGGGTCATGCCCTCTTTCAAGGGGAGAAAATTAAGAATTAGTGAAAAATTGGAGGCATCTTTTAAAAATTCATCTCAAGAACCACTGGACCAAAAAAGTTAAAACTTATATGAAACCTTCATTACATAATGTACAAATCATTACCCCTTGGGGCAGGATGGGGCCACAACGGGGAATCAAAGTTTTACATAGGAATATATACATGATGTAGGAAAAAGTCTGTACAAGTCTTCTTCTCAAGAACAGCAAACTCATGATTAGTCATGTTGATATGAAAGCATCCTCAGGTATTGTAGATTTAAGTTTGTTCAAATCATAACCCCCTGGAGTAGGGTGGGCCACAATGGTGGTATCGAAGTTTTATGTAGGAAAACATGGGAAAATTCTTTTAAAAATCTCAAGAACAGCAAGCCATGATTAGTCATATCTATATGCAGGGCTCGAGCTGTGATTTGTCATTTGCACCAATTGCGAATTTTTTCCAAAAGTGGCGAAAATGAATTTTTTTTTAATATATATCATACAAAAGTGTGTGTACTCCTGGCTATCTCCTTTGTTTATTCAATGTATACAGATTAGCCCCTTTGTTTATTCAATGCAAGCAGACGTGTGAATTCAGGGTGTGAAAACTCCATGAGACTTACAAAACAATGTACATGTAGGAAATAATGTCTCGCTTGAACGCACACAGCTGACTAGGTAACTCTAGTCTGGAGGTATGGGGATACAAAATTACTTAAAATAATATAAGATGGATTAAACAAGGAAAGACAAAGTGTTTATGGGAGATGCAGTTAGTTAATAAAAGATTTTAATAAATAAAATCTGGATCTATATAGATTGTTTTTAAAACCGAAAGTAGGAAAACATGACGAAAATTGCAGAGCATGGCTGCTAATTTTACCTGATTAAAGTCAAAATAGTGTGTTCATTATACCATAAACTGACAAAGAGTAAAAGAGGTACTGGCTTGGAAACAAAACAATACTTTTGTCAATTACGCTGAATTATTTTCAATTATATAAATTTACATGCATAAACCCAGTGTCCAAGTTGTTAAATTAAGCCAAGTTTTAAACTTGATTTTAATTACTTCTTTTCACAATAAATTGTTGATATGATTAAAATTTTCACTTATTATATTTTTTTTTCATTTTAAAAAGAATGTCATATATCTTTACTAAGTCTGTACCCCCCCCCCCCCCCTCCCCCCGGGCTAAAAAAAATGTTATGAACAAGAGGACATCAACTGTCAAGAGTTGGCTAATATCAGTATCAAACTAATTGTATAAATGTAAAAATAATTACTATATTAATTTTGTAAGTGGATACAACTTTAAATTTTACAATTTTAAAACAATGCCTGTGATATAAACAAATTGAGATAGTGCTATTAGTGGAGTGGAGTGTTTAGCATATACACTAGTCGATTCGAGATGTAAGAATGCAATTCCTTTCATCGCGAAAAGTGGTGAAAAATATTTTCGCTCCAGTGGGAGCTCTGTCTATATGGAAGCATCCTCAGGTAGTGTAGATTCAGTATTGTTCAAATCATGACCCCCCGTGATGGGTGGGGCCACAATGCCTGATCATATTTTATGAAATACATAGAAAAAATCTTAAATTTTCTTCTCAAGAACAGTAAAGCCATGATTAGTCATGTTCAAATGCAAGCATGAAGTAGTATAGATGCAAATTCCTTCAAACCAGGACCCCTGGATGCAGGGTGGGGCCACAATGGGCAATCAAAATTTGACATAGAATACATAGAAAAATCTTTTAAAAATCTCCCTCTCAGGAACAACAAGGTCATGATAAGTCATATTTATATGGAAGCATCCTAGGTAGTCTAGATTCAAGTTTGTTTAAATCTTAACCTCCTCCCCTGCCCTTCTGGGAGGTGTGTCATATATATATTCAAACTTTTCAATACTGAACCGCTTTCTGCTTTTCTGTAGCCAAAGTGCTCAGATGAGTGATGTGTTCCATTGGCCTCTTGTTACATTAGACACTCAGGTGGACCTCTTGCTATCTATTTTTAGGTCACCTGAGTCACTCAGGTGACCAATTGCTATCCGTTTTTGTCCGTTGGTGTGCGTCGTGCGATGTGCGTTAACATTTGAACATTTTTAGCTTCTTCTCTGAAACCGCTCAACCAATTTTGGCATATAGCATCTATGGGTGAAAGGGAACAAAAATTGTGAATTTCATGGTCCCTGCCCCCCCTGGGGCCTGAGGGGTGGGGCTAAAACCACCAAAATTAATGCAATCTTTAAAAATCTTCTTCGTTACTCCTGGACATCAAGCAGTCAAACCCAGGGTCAGGGGTTCTGGTGTTAGGGCGGGGCTATATAGATCATATAGTGAAAGTGCATTATTTCTTTGAAAATCTTCTTCTCTGCTCCTGGGTATTAAATAAAGTAAGTAAGTACATAGTTAGGATGAGCAAGAGTTCCTCTTCCAAAATTGTGAAATTCATGGCCCCAGGGCCAGGGGTTCTGGTGTTAGGGCGGGGCTCTATTTATTATATAGTGAAAATGAATTAATTCTTTGAAAATCTTTTTCTCTGCTCCAGGGTATTAAATACAGTAACTAAGTATGAAGTTATGATGAGCAAGAGTGCCTCTTCCAAAATTTTAAATTTCATGGCCCCAGGGTCAGGGGTTCTGATGTTAGGGCAGGGCTCTATTGATTATATAGTGAAAATGCATTAATTCTTTGAAAATCTTCTTCTCTACTCCTGGGTATTATTTAAACAAACTAAGTACATTGTTATGATAAGCAAGGATGCCTCTTCCAAAATTGTGAAATTCATGGCCCTGGGGACAGTAGTTCTGGTGCTAGGGCGGGGCTATATAGATCCTATAGTGAAGGTGAATTATTTCTTTGAAAATCTTCTTCTCTGCCCCTGGGTATTGTTAAAACAAACTAAGTACATTGTTATGATATGCAAGGATGCCTCTTCCAAAATTGTGAATTTTATGACCCCAGGTTTAAGGCTTCTGGTAGTGGTGGTGGTGGGGGGGGGGGGGGGGGGGGGGGGGCTTCTATTGATTATAAAGTGAAAAAGCAAAATTTCTTTGAAAATGTTCTTTTCTGCTTCTGGTTAAAAAAGCAAAGAAGCTAAGTGTATAGTTATGATGAGCAAGAGTGCTTCTTCCAGAGTAGTGAATATCATGACCCCTGGGTCAGATGTGAGGGTGGGGCTCTTGATAATATAGTGAAAATGCATTAATTCTATTAAAAAAAATCCTGTTTGCTCCTTAGAGTTAAGCAGATAAACAAAGTGATTAGTTATGATGAGCAAACTTATGGTCCCAGGGTCAGAAGCTCTGGTGTTTAAGAAAGGGGGGGAGGGGGCTCTATTGATAATATAGTGAATCTGTAGTGAAAATGCATTATTTCTTTAAAAATCTTCTCTGCACCTGGGCATATCTGAGGCAAACAGAGTAAAAGTTTTTATAAGGAAGAGAATTTTTACCAGATTTTTGAACATCTGGACCATTTGATCAAGTGTTCTGGTCCTGGCCAGGGCTCTATTAGTTTGCATTCTGAGAGGAGTTATTCCCCTTTGCCATTTACTTTTGAAAATTTATCACTGTTAATAATGTACTTGAAAGGTAAATAGAATAAGAGAATTATGCAAAAACTTTTATTGTATAAAACAAAAAGTACTTTTATAGTTTTAATGATCAGATAGACTTGTAAGTAGTAGATAAATAAAAATGAGACAAAAATAACTTGTCTTATTAAATGTTCATCAAGGACCAAGAGAAGTCAATGTAAGAGATTTCAACAAGGGATTAAAATAGTACAGAAGCATTGATAATTTGTTAATATACTGTATGGTGATAGTGATAAATGGGGAACAGATTAGAACCTAATTTATGAACTGTTAATGAATACAGGTGACTCTCGATCTCTCGAAGTTCAAGGGACCGCAAGAAAGTTCGAGAGATCGAGGGGTTCGAGAGATAGAAAGTGAATAAAATCTGGAATTTTCAGTTCTGATCATCATTGTTCTACTATTATGAATACCGAAAGTATATGTTGATAATAGCATTGCATGTTTTCATTTGTATTTTACAGGTAGTTCACTTGATTTCAACAACAATGATCGTATTTTGAATAAATAAAACGATCTCTTTAAGTTTCAATATTTATTTGTTCTCATTTCATGATTACATAAAACCTGAATAGCAATCGTTGGTGTGGCTACCCCCCGGGCCTGATCGGGTACTTTACCAGATTTCTCGTATTAAATCGGTATTTAATTCTTGAGATAGGATTTCTTGTGCAATGTTTGTCATACTGGGTTTATGTACACTCATAATTACTTCATAATCTATGGAAAATTATTGACACGCCTCTTAAATTATTTTCTAAAAATTTTCGTCACGCTGCAAAAATAAGTTGTGAATCAATTCGTTTATAATTTACCAATTATAACCAATTAATTATTAATATCAACACTCGGATGCTCACAGGTATAGTGGCATCTATGTAAACACCGAATTAACACCTCCATGCCAGCCCCAGGCGTTTACTGTTATCCAGGTAAGTCCAAGCTGCATTAATTTTACGCTTGATTGGCGTGTACACACACGCAATCAAAACTTCGAGGGATAGAGAGTAAAACACAATGAAATGTGTGTAACGGGACCCAGTTCTTGGTTCGAGAGATAGAGAACTTCGAGAGATTGGAAGTTAGAGAGATCGGAAGTAAATTTGCTTAGTTATATAGAGGAAAAAAACGGGACCGGAGGTTCACTTCGAGAGATCGAGAACTTCGAGAGATCGGAGTTCGAGCCATCGAGAGTCACCTGTATTAAGACCAATTATTTTGTTGATCATGATCACCCTATTTTTCTTGCTTTTGGGCAACAAAGCTTCACCTTTCAGTTCATTTTATACTCTATGCGTCCTTAAAATAGTTGTATTATACTCAGGTGACCGTTAAGGCCCTTGGGCCTCTTGTTGTCTATGTTGTCCTTCATCTGTGATGGTGAAACTTCTCACCTTTTCAATTTCTTCTCAAGAACCATTCTGTCAATTTAACTTGTCACAAAGTATCCTTGAGTGATATATGCCACTTGGATGAAGGGGATTCAATTTTTAGGTCACCTGAGTCACTCAGATGACCTATTGCTGTTCGTTTTTATCCGTTGGCGTGTGTCGTGCATTAACATTTAAACATTTTCAGCTTCTTCTCTGAAAGCACTCAACCAATTTCAACCAATTTTGGAATATAGCATCTATAGGTGAAGGTGGACAAAAATTGTGAATTTCATGGTCCCTGCCCCCCTGGGCCCTGAGGGGTGGGGCTAAAACCACCAAAATTAATGCAGTCTTTAAAAATCTTCTTCACTACTCCTGGACATCAAGCAGTCAAACTGCTGGCATGATTGTAATAAGCATTGAGCCCTCTACCAAAATTGTGAAATTCATAGCCCCAGGGTCAGGGGTTCTGGTGCTAGGATGGGGCTATATAGGTCATATAGTGAAAGTGCATTATTTCTTTGAAAATCTTCTTCTCTGCTCCTTGGTATTAAATAAAATAACTAAGTACATAGCTATGGTGAGCTTGGCTGCCTCTTCCAAAATTGTGAATTTCATGGCCCCAGAGTCAGGGGTTCTGGTGTTCGGACGGGGTTTTATTGATTATATAGTGAAAATGCATGAAATCTTTGAAAATCTTCTTCTCTGCTCATGGATATTATTTTAACAATGGAAGTGCATGGTTATGATAAGCAAGAATTCCTCTTCCAAAATTGTGAAATTCATTTCCCCAGGGTCAGGGTTTCTGGTGAAAGGGGGGGGGGGGATCTACTGATTATATAGTGAAAACTCATAATTTCTTTTAAAATATTTTTTCTACTCCTGTTTATAAAGCAAAGAAGCAAGTGTATAGTTATGATGAGCAAGGATGCTTTTACAAAATTTTTAAAACTTGTGGTCCCAGAGGTTCTGTTGTGTCTGTGAGGGGTGGGTGGGGGGTGGGGGGGGGGGGCTCTATTGATAATATAGTGAAAATGGGTGAATTCTTTGAAAATCTTCAACTACATGTTATTGCATAGTTATGTGATGAGCGTACCTCTTCCAAATATGTAAATTTCATGACCGTGCATCAAGGGTTCTGGTGTTAGGGTAGGGCTGCGTTAAATAGTGAAAATGCATTATTTCTTTGAAGATCTTCTCTGCTCCTGGGCATATTGGAGGCAAACAGAGTAAAAAGTTTTAATAAGCAAGGGTATTTTTACCAGAATTTTGAACATCTGGACCATTTAGTCAAGTGTTCTGGTCCTGGCCAGGACTCTATTAATTTGTATTTTACTGAGTGAAGTTATTCCCCTTTGCCATTCACTGTAGATAATGTATTTGAAAGGTTAATAGAATAAGAGAATTATGCAAGAACATTTATTGTATAATACTTAAAGTACTTTCTTAGTCTAAATGATCAGGTAGACTTGGAAATAATACATGAATAAAAATGAAAAAAAAAAACTTATCTTTTTTATATGTTCTTCAAAGGCCAAGTGAGGTCAATGTGAGAGTTAATAGACATTTTGTTAAGTCTGCATGGTAATAGTGATAAATGGGGGACAGATATATAGATACTAGAACAATTATTTTGTTGATCTTACTTGTACTATTTTTCTTGCTTTTTTGCAACAAAGCTTCATTTATCAGTTTATGGATCCTCTTAATTCTCGTACTCAGGTGACCGTTAAGGCCCTTGGGCCTCTTGTCTTCATATGAAAGGGCAAATCCCTATTCAAGAAGGTTAAGAAATAGTATTAATAATGTGGAGTCATTTAAATAAACTTCAGGATTCAGAAATGGTGAATCTTATGTGAAAGTTTTCTTGTATGTTGAATATTCATGTTTGTTTTTACCATTGTCCCTAGTGTGAAAGAGGTCAAATTAATATGCAAGTAAAATCATGCATTGTGACAGGCGACTGTTGACCCATGGGTCTTTTGTTTATTAAACCTACTGTTACATCAGACTTTATGTGTAACCCATTTTTGTGATCTTGTATAATGATAAGTTGACTGTTTTATTTAGACCACCCCACAGTGGACCTCACCCACTGGACAATGGAGATGGAGCACTCCACAGGTAGTATACCATTATATGTAACTTTTCTGACAAGATTTTGAGGTCACCTGAGCCACTTGAGTGACCTATTGCTTTGTTTTTTTGTCCATTTTTGTGCTTCAACATTTAAACATTTTAAACTTCTCTGGAACTGCTGTACCAATTTCAACCAATTTTGGCACATAGCATCTATGGCTGAAGGGGAACAAAAATTGTGAATTTCTTGGAGAAAGTGAAAAGGAATAAATTCTTTAAAAACCTTCTCTACCCCTGTATATTAAGCAGACAAATTAAGTTCATAGATATGATGAGCAAGTGTTCCTCTTCCAGTATTGTGATTTTCATGGCCCCCAGGGTCAGGGGTTCTGGTGTTAGGGAGATCATATAGTGAGAAATGAAAAAAAATTCTTCAAAAATCTCTCTCCCTGTATATAAAGCAGACAAACTAAATGCATGGTTATGATGAGCAAGGGCGCCTCGTCCACAATTATGACATTCATTGCCCCAGGGTTAGGAGTTACGACAAGGCTCTTTTGATCGTATAGAAGAAAAGGAATTTAGTGTATGATTATAGTGATTAAGAATGCTTTTTTCCCAAAATTGTGAAATTCATGTCCCCTGGGTCAGGGGTTCTGGTGTAAGGGAGGAGCCCTATTGATCATATAGTGAAAATGCATTAATTCTTTGAAAGTCTTCTTCTTTGTTTTTGAAACCCAAAGTATTTAGCAGAGGAATTAGGTGCATGGTTTTGATGAGCAAGAATGTTTCTTCCAAAATTCATGGTCCCTGAGACAGGGGTTCTTGAGTTAGAGTGGACCTCTATTATGATCACATATGGGAATATTACTCTGCTATAAGAGAAGATATTCCCCTTTTTCACTCACTTACGATCATAGTAAAAGAACTGTACAAGAATTTCTAATATAAGATATGAAAAATACTTCCATAGTTTTTAAAAATCTGGTAGACTTGTAAATAAAAGGTGAATAAAAATGAGACAAATATACCATAATAAGTACATTAGATGTAATTCAAAGACCAAGAGAGGCTAATATGGTGTGGGGATTATAGTAAGATATTACTGATTAAAATTCCTTCAACACAGCTGTCTGATTTAGCATTGATTTCGATTCTCACTGAATATATTCATTTAGTTCTTTGGATTACATCACATAAAACAACAGTGTGCAGATGGCTTTTGTGTATACTTACATTTCCTGTACAATGGATACAGGGTTACAATTCAAAAACTAATCTGATTGGCTGAAATTTAGAAGTGAAATCTATGCCAAGAAAATATCACTAATTTGGCCAGCTTTAGTATCATAATATGCCAAGGGTTTATGGGGAGTATAGTGGACTGAAAACCTTTGGCTTGCAATGATTGTCAAAGTTGACATATTTCTGTTTTGATCATAGTGACAAATCGTGATAACATCGTTGGACATGAAATTTTTATAAAGTTTTTATGACCCATTGTTTTAGGGTGGCCTGTAGAGTTATGTGTACAATTGATTAATTGCAATTATGCAAATTTTTTGCAGTTGGTTTCTTCTGTGCTACAATTACATGCAATGAATTATTTGATAGAAAATATATGTGAATGTAAAAACTATAACACTGTACACACTGTTCATTTTAGAGCCCCCAACAGGCAGTAACTGGATCACCGGGTTATATTTATGCTACAGCCATGCATGGCTCACCAGAATTGATGTACGCCCAAGCCCCACCTCATGCCTATCCCACTGAACATGCTGACCCCACCCTGATGTCTGACGGCCAGCAAGCAGTGGAGGTAATCTCACCATACATGTAAACAATGGAGTATTTCATTTACAAAAGATTGCAGTGGAGTATCATTTGACATAGTATCAAATCTGGTGAAGAAAACATTTTATTGTGCATAATTAAGATGAAGCAGTTTCAGTTTCATTTAAGTTACTGGCATTAATTTCATTTCATGGAAAAGAAATCTGAATCCGGTTACCAGATTCTTTTTGTAGCATGTTTACACATCATAACCTGCAAACAATTTAACATGCAAAGGGGGTTTTGTAAATATTTTGGGTTGACATATATTTTTATTTTAATACATTGAGAAAGAAGGAAATATGCCCCTTCTAGAGCTCTGATCATTCCATTTCTTGTGATTTTTTCAATAGATTTTTTTTACATGAGTGAGAGTGAATAAATAGCAAATTGTAGTCTGTCCATGTGTGCGAATTAATGTAAATGCTTATTTTAGAAATGCTTTTTTTTGTTATCCATAGTAGTGACTATGTAAGAAATCCATGGGCTTCCATTACCAAAGTTTTTACAACAGTTTATTTTCTTTTCCTTACATTTTCATATTTTAATTGATAGTTCCTAATTGAATTTTGAGCTAAGTTTGTAATAGAACTCTGAGCTAACTTGAGTAGCCAGAGCTTTCAGCTGACATAATGACCTTGACAAGTGTGATGTAGTGGACTCTTGGCATGGTAGTTTGATTATTGGAAATAGAATGCATCCCTTGCATTATTCTCCAGTGGCAGCTCTTGTAGAAAAGACCTCTTTATATGGATAATTGTTTAGTGCTGCATGAATGTAATGCTTGCTCACTATGATGGCAATTACACTAAAACTATTTCTGATTGAAGAGTTGAATATTTTGCATGTTATTTATGTATAAATCTTGCAAACTACTGTACCGTCATGAGTAGAAGATTGAGGAGAACATTTGACTAGGAGTATGAGATTGTTTTGTAGATAGAAGAGTCGGCCACCTCCAACTACCTGCTGGCTTATCCATCTGCCTCCTTGCCAGCTTCTGCTCTCACCTATCGCATTGTCGCCCCCTCTACTGCTGTCCTCAAGAAGTAATTCCAAAATCACCAGTTCAGGGCATTAATGCCCATGTATGCATGCTGACTCTTGGAAGTTTTGCTTTGATCTGATAAACTTTTTGCAAAAGGATTAATAATACTGATAAGCATGCAAAAGCAAGTTTATAGCTGGTTTATGCATGTTCTTTCTTTTTCTTCTTCTTCTTCTTTTTTTTTTTTTTTGAAAGATAACAGAAAAGCCATTCCAAATTTGTGAAAAATCTCAGCTGTTCCAGATGTTAAGAGTGTGCAAAAAAAATTTGAAATGAATTTTTTAAGGGGAGAGGAGAGACAAAACTAGAGACAACTTTGTGAAGATATTCTGCTTGTTAAGATAATCTTATTATGTTATAATTGTGGAATTTTTAAATTGGAGAACTAGAAATTTTAGGGTGAAAACCAGCTGGATTGGAGAGTTTATCAGTATATATACTTCATCTGAATATGTCTTGTTTTTATTATAAATCCAAAGATCATGATTTTAATGCATGTAATAAAACATCAATTTTTATTGGGCATTTTTGGTATTTATGACTATTGCTACTTGTTTTCGTAAAATGTTTTGTCTGTGCAAACCTTGTTGACAATTTATACACATACTCTACAGATAAAAATTAAATTGGTGCAAAGTATTCTCACTCAAGTGCTATGGTGTTTTAGTGGAAATCATTGAATGGTTCTACATGCAGATGTCTTTGATGCATTTTTTTGAAGATCAGATTTGATAAACATTTTGAAGCCAAACAGAAAATCCACATGAAGCATCATTTCAATAAGATTGACAAGATGATAAGATTGACAATACGAGTGCAATCTGCATGTCTTTTTCTGTGAATTTATCTGAGAAAAAAAAACCTTTTTTTTTTTACTATTATTATATTTTACTTATTTATTTTTTGGTGTGTGTTAAAAGAAAATTATTAATTAATTTAGATGTCAATATTATCCTTTATAAAGAAATTTCTTCAAGTTTTGATATTCATGTGATTACCTGCTTAATTTGAAGATTGAATAAGAATCTGATGGGGGAGGGAATGTTTCTTGTTGCTATGTGACTGTTCCTTCATCACACTTGTTGAGTTACTTATGGTTTGCTGGAGTTGTGTTGCACCTTTTCAGCTAAAATATTCAAAATCAATTTGCTGAAAAATCAGCTTTTTTTAAACTAATTACTACTTTACTGAAATTGATGTATCTTTACTTTTTTTCTCATGTTGACTGTCATGGCAACTGAATGGAGAGTGTCAAGACAATTGGAAAAAAAGCATACCTATAAATTAAAATCAGAATTAATATTGGGAGGATGGGTCTTTTCTTGTCTGGTTTGTTGAATATTCAATCTAGATTAGTTCAGCATTCCATCTAGTTTAGTTCAGTGCATGTTCTAGTATTAGTGATCAACTTAAACAATTCAGGTTTAACCAAATTTCTGCATGTAAATCAATGTTTTATTTATATTATCAAGGTGAAAATTAAATTGATGGAAAAGAGGAAATATAAAATACAGTTTAAATTTTTAGAAATTCCTGGATTGTTTTGAGTTAGCTCTATAAATGCATGTTATAGTTGAACCCAACTTATTTCAGGCAAGTTTGCTACCAAAGCCAATAGAGCCATCCATATTGACAGCCCACCCTTACCTCACGGAAAATGTAGCCATGACAGAATCCACAGAAATACTGCCTCCAAATACCTCTCAGATCAGCATGGGGGCCCAAGCAGGGCTCCAACCTATGGCACTACCCTACAGTTCTGTCGGAAGCCTTGGTAGTGATCCAACTAAACCCTCAACAGTGTTTACTCGTCCTCTATGCATTAATAGCCCCTCTTCCCAATACATAGGGGGAGCATATCCTGCTAGTTTAGTTCCCTACCAACCCTCTGTGTCAGCTGCTTCTCAAGGACCAATAACATATTCTTCTGTATCTGCCTCTGTAGCCCCATACCACAAGAAAGGCAATTCCAACTCTATCCTTCGTCGTCCTTATACAAGTCCTGCCATCATAGTAAAACATGGCCACAAAATGCAAAGGGTGATGATGCCCAGTAAGGCTGTTACAGCTAATGGGCAGCTGACCTACTTGCATAGCGATTGTGGTGCTGGGGGTGACATGTCTAGTGAGACAAAAAATACTATACTTACCCCTCCCCCAACTCCAGATGTTTAACTAACTACCAAAGTTTTATCATTTTGTGGTTTTGTTGCCAAGTTTCTTCTGTTTCTGTTGTTGTTTTCACAGTTTTATTTTTAAACTTCAGAGATACTTGATTATTAAAACAATCTGCCTTTTTTGGTCCATAGTATCTTCAGGAGTTCAAAAGTTTTACGCAGGTGGGATAACCTTGTATGTGTTAACATGTTTAAAAAGCACTGCTGATTCTAGTACTTTTAAGACATGTTTGAGATTTTACATTTCACAACAAACATAACTTGCATCTAAATATTCTTTGATTAAAAAGATGTGGGATTTTAAACAGCATTTGAAAAGCTGTATACCAGAAATGAATTTGTTTAACTATTTTATGCAGGCTCTTATGACTGATACCCTGAACTCTATCAAGTGCTGTAAATATGCACAATTTTTTGTTCATCAATTCTGGAAGAACCAGGTTTAAAGTGTGTTTTGTCAGCAAGGTTTGCAAATATGTCCTAATGTCTTTAATATGTGTGTCATCCCTAATCGATTTTTTTGTCACATTAAATCATACTGCATGTAATGATTATGACTGTTAAACATTAATGTCATGGTAAGCAATGAAAAACTTTGCACTAGGCTTAAAGGTCTGTTGTAGAGATATAAAGATTAGAGAAACAAAGTACATATATAAATTATGTAGTCATTAGGAAACAAAATTACATTTGGAATCAAAAAGCTAATTTAACGAGCATGATATAATAAGCCTTTATAGTTCTTAGATTAGTTGCATGTTAAAAATTAAAAAAATGTTTTCTTCCATAATTAAAATTTTTGCATGTTCATGTCATGTTTCAAAGTCAAGGTTATTAGTCATCTTTTTCTTGAAGTGAAATATGATTAGGGTTACATATTAACTATTTACCTTAATTTTTCAAAATGCAACTAGACAAATTTGAGTAGGCAATTTTTTTTCCCTTGCATTTGCTTAAAGTAGTATAAGATTTCTAGGACAATTTTATGACTTTAGATATTTTAAATTGTGAAATCCCTATTTATGGAATATTTATCTTGCCATTTTTTCACTGTATTATATATTTGTTGAAAATTATATTTGGGCTATTTTGTTGTCTCTTTTGTTCCCATATTGAAAGGTAATTTAGAAGTTAGAAAAATATGTTTTGATATTGTATTGTATATACACCTGTTAACATCATATAATACTGTTATAGTCAAGTCCCTTATCCATTAAGATCATTGTTTTCCCATACTTTTTTCATTACCATTCCATACTTGTTTTTGTTTCCGTTTTTTCGTTTTTTGTTAATCATCAATACCTTTTTTTGTTATCAGATTATTCTTTTCAGGATTAGTGGCTTGTCCAATTTTATATTCGAACAGATAAGTTATAGCAAAATAGAAAAACATAGAATTCAATGGCAGTCAAAAATTCTCATTTGTCTATAAAATATGTTCTTTTATTAGTGGGAAGATTCTTTCTGGATTCATTTATTTGGAAAATTTTAAAACACTAGCTTCAATAGAAAAAAATCTTGTCCTCACATGTATAGTTTGATTTAAAATGGAAAAAGAGGGTAGATGTGTATCAATTTTTCCAACAGTAGCCCAATTTCGAAGTAAGAAAGCTTAAGTTGGTCAGTGTTAGGGTTTGTAGATTTTGATGTACCTCTGCCATTGCAATACATGACATTTTCCTTTTAATTTGTGCCTCTCTCTCATTGTGAAGTGCTTTTTTTTCTGTACATATTATGAGGCACTGTGCTTTGTGTAACTGTATTGATTTGATGTATATTTATTGTTCACTTTTGAATGATCAATTGGACAATTCCAAAACATGAAACCAAGAAGCAGATAGCTTTTCTGTGCTCTGTTTTTAAGCAGAATGCCCCATGTCCTTTGATACTATGATGTATAAAAGGTTTTGAACACTTTCTGCTGCTGTCTTGTCAATCACAGACAGTTGGTGTGTTCCGATTTAAGATTTGTCCAACAAACTACAGTTGGGTAGAACTGTAAATATAGTAATTAGAAGCTATCTTTAGGGAAAAGCATTCCTTTGTCAGATTTCCTACAGTGGGAATTGTTTCATCTGTGTGTATGATGTTGTGTATGCCTGTCCTAAACATTAGTATATATTTGTTGTGGTTCAGTTTGAGTACCCTATTCTCCCTATCAAGCAATCCTGCCCCTATGAGTGACAGGAAATATTTTCCCATTTTCAGAGGAAAATGGCACCCTTTTTAGCTCACCTGAGCTGAAAGCTCAAGTGAGCTTTTCTGATACCTGTTGTCCATCCATCTGTAAACTTTTCACATTTTCAACTTCTTCTCAAGAACCACTCGGCCAATTTTAACCAAAGCTGGTACAAAGCATCCTTGGGTGAAGGAGTTTAATTTCTTGAAGTGAAGGGCCAAGCCACTTGGCACACCTTGGCAGATTCGTACCTCATCTAACCTCGGCTGTATCATGCAAACCTCCATTGAACCGGAGCTACTTTATAAGCAATATGGCTGTGCCCTACATTTACATGTGCACAGTGTGCTGAATTCGATCCGTTAACAAACGTGATTATGTAAAGATACTAAGTGCTTGTTTCTTGGTAAGTGTTATTCTTAGTGTTACCTAAATGCTTTTGAAAATTTTTAACGTATATAAGATATATGTTTATTATCGTTTTCAAAGCGTTACGTTTTCCTAAGTGGTAAACAGGTAGCCTTATCACAAATGTTAAGCGGAGATGCATATCAAGTTTCCTCATACAGCCGAGGTTTGATGAAGGTGACGGAATCAGCCGAGGTTTGCCTAATGGGGCCAAGCTTCCTTCTAAAGGGAGATAATCATGAAAAAACAAAATAGGGTGGGGTCATTATAAAATCTTCTGAAGAAGAACTACTGGGCCAGTAAAGCTGAAAGTCATGTAGAGGCATCCTTGGGTAGTGTAGATTCTGAATTGTTCAAATCATAACCCCAGGGGTAGGGCGGGCCACAATAGGGAATCGAAGATTTACATTGAAATATATAGGAAAAATCTTTAAAAATCTCGACGGGAACCACTGGGCCAGTTTTAATCAAATTTGGTACAATGCATCCTTGGGTGAAAGGGAGTTTAAATTATCGAAATGTAGTGCTAAACCCCCTTACAAGAGGAGATAATCAAGAAAAAAACAAAAATAGGGTGGGGTCATTAAAAAACCTCAAGAACCACTAGGCCAGAAAAGCTGAAACTCATATGGAACCATCCTTGGGTAGTGTAGATTGTAAATTGCAGGGCCAAAGTTATTCTGGTGAGCATTGTGGCCCATGGGCCTCTTGTATTTACCTTATCAAAGCTTTCAAATCAGCAAGTCCCACCTTCAAACTTGATAGAACATTGAAATGCCATATGAAATGACCATCAGGCAGATTGACAGAGTTGACTGCCTCATTTTGCAATTTATCAAGTGCCCAGGGTGTTTAATATGGAGAATACAGTATTCAAACAATTTGTATCCATTAATGAACATTTCACTTTCTTATGCAGCAATTTGACCTTGGTGATAATAAGTGCATACTTGCAGAGCTTACAACTTGATATCAAAAAATGAGTTTGCAGATTTGCATTAATATAGCACACAATTGTTTGATATGGAATTGTCATTCTTGAGCTTGGTTATCACACATTATTCATACATTTTTCCTGCGAGGTGTGAAACAAGTTTTTTTGGATGATTATATGTGCAGTTTAATATAGATACATCTGCATAAAGGCATTTTGCAGTTGTGAACTGTAGCTCACAAGGTCATGTCCCATGTGTAAATTATGTCTTTGCTATTGAAAATCATATGTGGAACAGATAGTCGTTTTGTGTTTTCAGAGACTTGGCGTTACAATGTATTGTTTGTAACTTTGAGTGTATATTTTCCACAGGAAGTAAATGTTCATGTGAAATTTTCTTCGGACAAATTTTATGGCATTGTATGTATTTTTGGTAATTTTTCAGAAAGATTTCTTAATACATATACTATATACTTTGAGTGGTAAATTTATAAGGGAGTATTTTTTTTTGTGGTCTCTAGATATATTAAGGAAGAATTTGGAAGTATGCAATCCCTAATGTTTGAAGAATTGCTAGAGATGTTCCATGACTGTCATGAATGCTGTTTGAATGCTGAAATAAAATATGTAAATTTTAATTCTCATTTAACTTGTATTGATTGAATATTTCTGGTTAATCATAAGTTCTGACAAGTAAACTTCTCTTATTTGTAAGAAGTGAAAAATTCTACCCAAAGGAATGCACCACTGGATTTGATTAAGTGGATACATATTCAAATGATCTGCTGAGAACTACAGTACAGAATGATAAAAGCAGGTCCGTAGCAATGGTTTCAAAAGTGGGGTGGAGCAACTTCCTAAAAAAAAATCTGACAATTAAAAAAAAAACCCTATACTGAACGGGGGGGGGGGGGGGCAACTTCCCAAAATTATCTGACAAGCAAAAAAATTAAGCTAATTTACTGTCCAAATCCTAGAATTTGCTTGACCTTAAATTAAAACAAGGGGGGGGGGGGGGGACAAACGGAATCTAAAGGAAAATTTACTATAGCAAAATACTAGACTCTGAAAAGGAGGGGGCGCCCTCCCCCTTTCCCCGCGTTTTTCCGGCCTGGATTTAAGTAGGATAACAGCATTGTATGCTTGGCAGTTAGTACTGATGTACATTTACGTATATTTGTACTGCAGCATTGTTTGCTTGGCAGTTATGTGCTGCAGATCTGAGTGATGGGAAATTGCCACAGCTTTGGTGTCCGTTGTGGCACCTTGATGTGGACTGAAAGCTTTCCTTATTCTAATATTTGGAGAAGAGCATTCTCCATCTGTCACACCCTGTATCTTTTTAACCATGATAGAGATTAATGTTTATTGTCAGAAAACCTTTTGGTGACTTGCCATCACTGGTTGTCCATCGCCAATTATCTGTTAACTTTTGGACTTGGGCGTATGTCCATCGCCAATTATCTGTTAACTTTTGGACTTGGGCGTATGTCAACTTTCCTTCTGAAGCTACAGGCTATTTTTAACCCAAAATTATTGTGGAGCATTTTGGGGTAAAGAGAACTTTTGTAATTGGGGCAAACACGTATGCAATATTAAAAAAAATCTAAACAAGCATCTAAGAGGCATACTAAATGTATAAGAATATTAACAAGTAAAGGTGCTTCATCAAAAAATTCTCAAATTCATGACTACCGTCAAAGAGTTTCAGGCTCCAGGACTGGACTATATGCCGTATGTTATGTATTGTGGGTTCATAACTTTCCTAGAACAGCAGTTTTCATTGTTTAGGTGGTTGAGACAGAATTAATATGTGTTGCAAGAACTAAAAACTACAAATAATGACTGATATGATACAAGGAGGAGAGTATCCAAAATTGGCATATCAAAGAATTTTTATATCCACGAAAATTAATGAAATCGTAGTATTTCATCTTTTACAAGTCTTTACTGGGAAACGTAGAGATATTTAAGTAGAACACAAACCGCGTATATGTAAGCACGCGTGAATCTAGAGGGTGAGTGGGGTCCAAGGCCCCCTCCTGGAATTTTTGGAGTAAAAATTGACCTTGCCCCCCAAAAAGCGGCTCCTGTTAAATTGGTAGAGTCATAAAGCTAAGAAAAGAAGGACCCCCCCCCCCCCCCCCTGCACGAAATAAGTTTTTCACTTTTGGGAAAGGAGTTTTACGTTTTTCCTCTCTTTATTGATTAGCTCTTCTGAGCCAAAGGCTCAAAGAGCTCATGCTATGGCCATTTGTACGGTGTGCGTAAACTTCTTGGTATAGGCCATATCTCAAGAACCCCTTAGTCATTTTTTTTTAATTTGTCACAGAGTATCCTTGGCCCAAGGGCTTTCATCTATAATATAACTAAGGATGTGTCCCTTAAACAAGGGGAGATAATTAGGGAAATATAAACAAAAGTATTGGTTGTCAAAAAATCTTCTCAAGAACCCCTGGGCAGATTATCACCAAACTTGCATACAAGGATGAGGATATGTTGTAGATTAAAAATGTTCAAGGCATCACCCTGGGGCAAAGGGCGTGGTCTCAAGGTCACTTCAAAGTTGACCAAAATTTACGTTTTGTTTAATCTTTGATATTTTGCCCACTATAAGACCTATCAAATCTTGTCAGTTGATGCATCTTCGGACCTCATATCTGCAGGTATTCATTTTCATTTTAATTTTGATGTATAACTTGGAAACTTTGGAACCTATGATCATCAAAACTTGTCAGTTTATGCATCATGGGACCTTGATGTATGTCAACCAAAAAGTAGGTCACCGTGACCTACTTTCTGAATTATATGGCTAATCATTTTCTAAACATTAATGTCATTATTTCAGATACTGAGAGGTTTAGAATCATCAAACCTTGTAAGTTTATGCACCTAGAGGCCTCAAAACAGATTTATCAAAAAGTAGGTCACAGTGACCTGCTTTTAGAATTTTACAGTATTCATTTTCAAATTGTTTTAGAGGCATATTTCGGACACTTTGATTGATTGATTGTATGTTTTTTAACGTCCCATTCGAGAATTTTTCAGTCATATAGAGACGTCACCATATACCGGTGAAGGGCTTCAAATTTTGACCTTTACTCGGCACTCAGGGCCATTGAGCAGTGAGGGATCTTTATTGTTCCAACGCCTGCCGTGACACGGGGCCTCGGTTTTTAAGGTCTCATCCAAAGGACCCGCAACTTTCACTTCAAAGTGCCGAGCGCATGGCGAAAGAACAGTTGCTACCCATTTTTAGCTCTACTGGTCAGAGACCAGAAGAGCTTATGCGATAGTAAGGTGTCCGTCGTCCGTCCGTCTGTCTGTCTGTCTGTCTGTCTGTCTGTCTGTCTGTCCGTCTGTCTGTAAACAATTTTTCAAAACGCTACTCCTCCTACAGTTTTGGTCCGATTTCAATATAACTTGGCACACAAGTAGACTCTACTAAGATACATAATTTAGTGCATCGGTTTTTGATTTCGATGGACGGTGTTGCCATGGTTACTAAAAATAGAAATTTCTGTGAAATTCCTTTAAAACGCTACTCCTCCTACAGTTTTGGACCGATTTCAATATAACTTGGCACACAAGTAGACTACACTAAGATACATAATTTAGTGCATCGGTTTTTGATTTCGATGGACCGTGTTGTCATGGTTACTAAAAATAGAAATTTCTGTGAAATTCCTTTAAAACGCTACTCCTCCTACAGTTTTGGACCGATTTCAATATAACTTGGCACACAAGTAGACTACACTAAGATACATAATTTCGTGCATCGGTTTTTGATTTCGATGGACCGTGTTGCCATGGTTACTAAAAATAGAAATTTCTGTGAAATTCCTTTAAAACGCTACTCCTCCTACAGTTTTGGACCGATTTCAATATAACTTGGCACACAAGTAGACTACACTAAGATACATAATTTAGTGCATCGGTTTTTGATTTCGATGGACCGTGTTGTCATGGTTACTAAAAATAGAAATTTCTGTGAAATTCCTTTAAAACGCTACTCCTCCTACAGTTTTGGACCGATTTCAATATAACTTGGCACACAAGTAGACTACACTAAGATACATAATTTAGTGCATCGGTTTTTGATTTCGATGGACCGTGTTGTCATGGTTACTAAAAATAGAAATTTCTGTGAAATTCCTTTAAAACGCTACTCCTCCTACAGTTTTGGACCGATTTCAATATAACTTGGCACACAAGTAGACTACACTAAGATACATAATTTAGTGCATCGGTTTTTGATTTCGATGGACCGTGTTGCCATGGTTACTAAAAATAGAAATTTCTGTGAAATTCCTTTAAAATCTTACTCCTCCTACAATTTTGGTCTGATTTCAATCTAATTTGGCACACAGTTAGAATACACTACGATACATAATATGTATTTCTGTTTTTTTTTATTTGGGTGAGTGGTGTTGTCATGGTTACCGGTACTAAAAATAGAAATTTCCGTGAAATACTTTCAAAACGCTACTACTCCTAGTTTTCATTTGATTTCAATATAACTTGTCACAGAAGTAGACTACATTAAGATACATTATTCTATTTATTGTTGCATGTTGCAATGTTTCAAATCCAAGTGCTACTTTTCTTTTGTTATACAAACAGACCAGTAGAGCTACAGTCTCATCAGAGACTTCTGGTTTATCGACTTAGGTCAGTCGCGGCAGAGATTCGAACTCACGACCTCCCGATCACGGAGCGAGCGCTCTACCGACTGAGCTACCGTGAACGGTACGGACACTTTGAAGCATAGGATCATGAAACTTTGTCAGTTGATGCATCTTGAGTCCTCGAAGTATGTAAACCAAAAAGTAGGTTACTTTGACTTACTTTTGCAATTTCATGGCTTAATTTAAATATTTCAGATACTAATTGGCTTAAAATCATCAAACTTTGTCAGTTGATGCATATTGGGTCCTCAAAGTGTGTCAACCAGACAGTAGGTCGCAGTGACCTACTTTTTGATTTTGATGGCATTTTCAGTTACTAATTGGCTTACAATCATCAAACTTTGTCAGTTGATGCATCTTAAGTCTTCGGAGTGTATCAACCAAAAAGTAGGCCACTGTGACCTACGTTTGCAATTTCATGGCTTAATTTGAATATCCCAGATACTGATTGACTTGGAATTATCAAACTTCGTCAGGTGATGCATCTTGGGTACCCGGAATGTGTCAACCAAAAAAGTAGGTCACCGTAACCTACGTGGAATTTGATGGCTATTACAGATAGTTATTAGCTTAGAATCATCAAATTATGTCAGTTGATGCATCTTGGGTCCTCAAAATGTGTCAATATAAAAGGTCACAGTGACCTACTTTTGGAATTTGATTGCTATTTCAGATACTAATTGGATTAGAATGGCTATTTCAGATGGTAATTTGTTTAGAATCATCAAACTTTGTCAGTTGATGCATTTTTGGGTCCTCTGAGTGTGTCAACCAAAAACTAGGTCACTGTGACCTACTTTTGGGATTTGATGGCTAAATTTAAATATTTCAGATACTAATTGGCTTGGAATTATCCAACTTTGTCAGTTGTTGCCATGCTGACCTACTTTTGGAATTTCAAGGCTTTATCCTTGTATATAGGTTACCAAGAGGTTTAAAACAGATGAGATTATAGGTTTTACAATTTTCAGAAGAGCGATTCTAGGCCCATGGGCCTCTTGTTTTTATTATTATTATTATGATAATAATTTTTTGGCATGTCAACAAGTGTCTTGGATTTTTTATGAACTAGGGTAGAATCCCTCCCCCACCCCATCTCCAACCCCTGGTCACTGCTGCGTGTAGTATATCTTACATTTTGATTACGTTTTATTTAAATCTTCCTTATAGCGAAAGCACTAAAAAATGAGAAGGCTGTATGAAACTTAATACATGTATGCGATTTTGTTCAGACCTTAATGTACATGTATATACTGTTGTCCCTTTTTCACAAAATAATTGTAACAGACTTTTTCTGACAGTGATAGTCTATCAGTGCAATATAAGCAGTATATTGTCAATACATTTCTGAATAGTAAGCACGAGGAATAGATTCCACGACAGTTTCATTTTTCAGAGTAATAGTAAAATTCATCTGAAGGTGCGTTATTAAAGGTTTTTCCAATATCTGTGGAAATATCTTTGAAACTTGGTCTTTGCTTTGGTTTTGAATTCCAGCATCTGATCATGATTCCATAGTAGCTATTTGGAAGTAAAAAAAAAAAAGAAATTATATTTTTCGACGAAAGTTCATGTTTTCATATTTTTTATGTATGCTGTGCTGGATACATTATTAATGACATCTTACTGTTTAATAACTGACTTACAAATCATTAGCAAACTCAGGCTTCTTCATTCTGTGACCATTTTTAACTTGTGTTTGCACATCCCTGCTGCGTATTCCTGGATATGGAGTGTCACCTAGTCAACGAATTAGAAGCTGAGTAATAATGTTTTGAACTAATATTCTCCGATAGATCACGACAAACATATAAAAATAACAAATAAATAAGGACCTTGTAATTAAATTATCACCATTAGATTTATATGTACTTCCTTTCCATAATCAGACAATTATATGAACTATATACATACCCAAAGTAAAAACCTCCCATAAAACAATTCCAAAAGACCATACATCACTTTTTGTGCATGCATTTTTCATTGAAATCAAACATTCTGGTGCGGTCCATTTCACAGGAATTCGTTCCTGAAGTAGTTAAATTTTCTTTATAATGATTCAAAAATGTCTCATGTTTTTCAATTGAATGTAAATATTGTTTAATAATTTCTTAACTTTCCAGTGACGGTTACATGTGTAAATTAAACTTTTTCAAAGATTTTCCTAATTTTTTTTCTTCCATAATATTAATCTTGCAATGGCTTGAAGTACTATAAAGGGTAACTCCTGATTATCATGTAATTTCATAGATACGATTTCTGACTGGCTAAAACCTTTTCGTCTGACGTCACATCTCCATCGCCGTCATTGCTCTGTTGTTGCGGCGGTTCAGGACCAAATCCATAGATCTTGGGCTCTAGTTCACCAGTCAGCAAAACATTTCGTGCAGCAAGTCTTTTGTGAACCAGCTAAAAGATTTGTAAAAGAAAGACTATATTTTGCTCTTGAAAGTGGTCTATCCCATTTGAATTGTTATCAATTTTGTAGTAGAAGGAATTCTGTTCAACCTTTTTTGTCTCAAGGTAACACATTCCTTTAGAAATTCCGTAAACAATTCGATATAGTAGTTCTACAGTGTCCACTGTAGATGCATTCTTTTGTTGCAGCAACCAATCTCGAAGCTGTCCCTTTTCACAGTATTCCAAGACCATGTATGGTCCAACTGAAAATATACCACGAAACTATCTTCACTAGTTAAAATCCTCTCCCACAACAAATGCTGTTGGAAGATGTTTTACGTGACCTTTCAATAGAAGTAGCCAAACCAGTTGGCAACCGATTCAGAGGAACTAGTATTTGTCTTTGCATCACCAACAACAAATTTCAATGAAATTTTATGACTAATTTTTAACAAAAGTTTTTTTCCATATTACATAGATATATATAATCGCATACATGTATCATTCCCATAAGGTCATTTAAAAAAAAAAAAATGTTTGCTTGCCCTCTCCCGACTCAAGTTGAAAAAAAAAATGGGAAGGTAAGTAAGGGGGAAAATTATTATTTTCAAAAAATTTCAACCTCAATGCTTAATTCTCAAAAAATATTGTAACAGATGGTATTAATAAAATGAAAAAAAAAAGTTTTTTGACAGGGTCTGTATGAAAGATTTCTTAAGAAGTGGGCTCTTACAATAATTTAACGTACAGATCAATAATGCAATATTTTACCTACATGTACTTGGTATTATTTAGAGAACGAGACAGGTACTGTATCGTAGATACAAATTTGGGGTGGTTGAGTGCGTAGCACGAGTCTCCACCCCAAATTTGTATCTACGATACAGAACCTGTCGAGTTCTCTAAATGATTTGTGACACGATCAATCAAAAAAAAAAAGCACCGCCCACTTCATACCCGTGCAGCATCCAAACTTCCGCCAGAGTTCGTTTGTTTTTTTTCTGTAGATGAGGCCTCGACGGGGAGTATACATCCGCAGTATATATATATTTTCACGGACAACGTAAGATTTAGTCAGATTAGTTTTGACAACGGGGTAGACGTAACAGACTCGAAGTCAGTCTTAATTGATAATGTGGACGATTTAACCTTGTTGTAAATGGAGATTGATCCGAATTTATTTCAGGGGTCTTAAAATCTCAGTTAACTATAGATACACATACAGGCGATACAGACAGTTTTTCTATGGACTTTGATGTTATGGATTTTTATTTTCTTATTGAAATGCGACATTAAAAACGAAGTGAAAGAGATGTGCGGCAGTCGTCAGCGGTAAGGATTTAAGATGGAATTTAAAAAAAAATCCTGAAAATAGACTTGAGTTTACACGAGAAGAGTGGAAAATGGGCGGAGGGGGAGTGCGAATTTCACGTAGTGTATGCAGCATCCGCGAACTCATTGGCTTTACTATTTTGAAGGGGACACAAAAAGCAGGGAAAGCAAACAGGTTTTCAGGAATTTCTCCAACATAGGATGTTTTCCATAATTGCGACTTTTCCTTTTCGTTTGGATCGAAATAACGTGTAGATTCTGTGTGGAATAATTTTTTTAAAAGTGATTGAGAAATTTTGACATTTTACATTCCTAAGGAAATATTTCTTCAAATTTATAATAGGAAAAAATCAGCATTTACTATTTGAACGTGCTTTTGATAAATTGAATCAGATTTATTTTTAGACCGTGCTGTATTTTAGATACAGAACAGTTGGCTAATACAAGACAGTATACAGGGCTAATACAGAACGGAAAGTAGCTCCGCCCACTGTATTTCCGTTCTGTATTGCTAATACAGAACAGCAAACTTCAAAGAAAAACACCGCAATCGTGTCACAACACCCATTTAAAACGAATGACTTTTCGGATAAATATAAAAACATTATTTACAAAGACTTTGTTAATTTTGGGATCAAAGGCTGCAACCGTTGCAGAAAAAAATTACATAAGCCGCTTACCCGGGTAAGCTATTTTTTCTGCAATGATTGCAACCTTTAATCCCCGTATTAACAAAAACATTTAAATTTTTATTGTTTAAATTACTTATCAATAAGAATTAATGGAGGGGGAGGAGCAATTAATAGTTAACATAATATACTACTGAATGATGACTAACATGCGTCATTATCGACAACAGCGCCAACGAAATGAATGAGATTTGGATGTTTTCCGACTTCTTTTGCAAAGTAGTTGATTTTTGCTCTCATCATTAGCATATTCTCTTCATTATAGTCACCTACAGAATAATAATCATGAATTAAAACAAATGATTCAAAATCAAAACTGGAAAATGAACAGAGAAACCTATTTTAAAGTATCAACCAGAAGTCTCTGACGAGACTGTAGCTCTACTGGTTGTATTTATAAAGGAAGATAAAAGTAGCACTTTGACTTGAATATTTGCAACAGCAATAAACAGAATAATGATCCTTGGTTTAGTCTCTTTTGTGGCAAGATTTATTATTATATCAGACTAAAACTGTAGGAGGAGTAGCCTATTAAAACAATTTTACAGAAATTTTGATTTAAGTAACCATGGCAACATCATTCAACAAAATCAAAAAACAATAACACCAATTACGTATCTCTGTAGTCTACTTGTATGCCAAATTATACTGAAATCAGACAAAAGTGTAGGAGGAGTAGCGTTTTGAAAGTATTTCAAGAAAATTTCTACTTTTAGTAACCATGGCAACACCGTTCATTGAAATCCAAAACTGGTACAGAGAATTATGTATCTTAGTGTAGTCTAATTGTGTGCTAAGTTATACTAAAATTAGACCAAAACTGTAGGAGGAGTAGCATTTTGAAGGTATTTCAAGGAAATTTATATTTTTAGTAACCATGGCAACACTGTTCATCGAAATCCAAAACTGGTACAAAGAATAATGTATCTTAGTGTAGTTTACTTGTGAGCTAAGTAATACTGAAATCAGACCAAAACTGTAGGAGTAGCATTTTGAAGGTATTTCAAGGAAATTTCTATTTTTAGTAACCATGGCAACAATGTTCATCGAAATCAGAAAATCAATATAAAGAATTATGTATCTTAGTGTAGTCTACTTGTTTGCCAAGTTATACTGAAATCAGACCAAAACTGTAAGAGGAGTAGCACTTTGAAAGTATTTCACAGAAATTTCTATTTTTAGTAACCATGGCAACACCGTTCATTGAAATCAGAAAATCAATACAAAGAATTATGTATCTTAGTGTAGTCTACTTGTTTGCCAAGTTATACTGAAATCAGACCAAAACTGTAAGAGAAGTAGCACTTTGAAAGTATTTCACAGAAATTTCTATTTTTAGTAACCATGGCAACACCGTTCATTGAAATCAAAAACCGATACACAGAATTATGTATCTTATTATAGTCTACTTGTGTGCCAAGTAATATTGAAATCAGATAAAAACTGTAGGAGGAGTAGCATTTTGAAAGTATTTCACAGAAATTTCTATTTTTAGTAACCATGGCAACACTGTTCATTGAAATCAAAAACCGATACACAGAATTATGTATCTTATTATAGTCTACTTGTGTGCCAAGTAATATTGAAATCAGAGAAAAACTGTAGGAGGAGTAGCATTTTGAAAGTATTTCACAGAAATTTCTATTTTTAGTAACCATGGCAACATCGTTCATTGAAATCAAAAACCGATATACAGAATTACGCATCTTAGTATAGTCTACTTGTGTGCCAAGTTATATTGAAATCAGATCAAAACTGTAGGAGGAGTAGCATTTTGAAAGTATTTCACAGAAATTTCTATTTTTAGTAACTATGGCAACACCGTTCATCGAAATCAAAAACCGAAACACAGAATTATGTATCTTAGTATAGTCTACTTGTGCGCCAAGTTATATTGAAATCAGATCAAAACTGTAGGAGGAGTAGCATTTTGAATGTTTTCACAGAAATTTCTATGTTTAGTAACCATGGCAACACCGTTCATCGAAATCAAAAACCGATACACAGAATTATGTATCTTAGTGTAGTCTACTTGTGTGCCAAGTTATATTGAAATCAGACCAAAACTGTAGGAGGAGTAGCATTTTGAATGTTTTTCACAGAAATTTCTATTTTTAGTAACCTTGGCAACACCGTTCATTGAAATCAAAAACCGATACACAGAATTATATATCTTAGTGTAGTCTATTTGTGTGCCAAGTTATACTGAAATCAGACCAAAACTGTAGGAGGAGTAGCATTTTGAAAAATTGTTTACAGACGGACGGACAGACAGACAGACAGACAGACGGACGGACGACGGACACCTTACTATCGCATAAGCTCTTCTGGTCTCTCACCAGTAGAGCTAAAAATTTAAATGTTTTTAACACTTTTAAGTGTTAAAATATTAATTTGATTTTCTTCTGCAAAATTTTACAATGATAATAATAAAACTATACAAAACTTTAAAATACCAGTGGTATTCAAGTATATACGACACTTCATGAGCATGACGTTGATTGATAAACATTTTAAAAATAACAATGCATAGGCGTCAGAAGCAAATTGAAAGGGGGGGGGCTAATTGAAAGGGGGTCTAAACCAACCAAAAAAAAAAACGTTTGAGGACTAAGTCCCAACTTTCAATGCCTATAATATGTCTGTCTTTGCAAACAAAAAAGGGGGCTAAGCTCCCCCTAGCGCCCCCCCCCCCCGGTTCCGACGCCTATGCAATGTGTTTGCAAATATGGTTGCTATCTTACATACTTCTCAGAGTCTTTGCGATGACAATTTGTTTGTCTTTGTTATTTTGTTGTTGGTATCTGGCCTTATATATGTCTGCAAATCTTCCACTTGTTAATAAGGCATCCAACACAATGTTAGAGCTCGGCAAAATCCAACTGTCAGTATTACTAATTTCCATTTGACCGTATACATAAATATCGTCTACTTCATAGCTGGGATTCTTAAAATGTATTGGAAATACACATCATGAATTCAAAGTAAATTAATCAAAAATGATAATTCATTATAAACCTAAAATGTATAATTTTGAATCGTAACTCGTTAAAAAACTTGAAATGTGAGAGAGTTTTTAGAGCTTATCGTAAATGACTTGAATACATACAGTGTGAGCAGCTGAAAATCGGTTGCTGATATTTTTTCGAACTACCGTCACTCTGCGTTGGATGTCATCTCTCAAAACTGATAAACGACCTAGTCGCCATAGTACTACCATTGCAATAATTATCCCCAAAAGTATCAAAAATGCTGAAATGAAGCTTGTAATTAGTGTTGTTTAGCAATTATGCATATATTTAATTATTAATTACATTACTAATTTCACTTTTTAGAATCAAATATGGAGATAACGAACAGTAATCAAGCTCAAAAGTCCATAGAAAAAATACAGATCAGGAGCAGATCAAACATGGACCTCTAAAACATCAGAGGTGGGATCAGGTGCCATGGAGGAGTAAGCATCCCCTGCCGACCGCGGTCACATCCGCCGTGTGCTCCTTGTCATGATCGAATACAAATTTTGGCCCGATTCTAAACGCAAAAGCTTTATTGACTGAAAACAGCACCTACATGTACAAATAATCTTTCATTCTATTGTGTTTTCAGTAATTTTAAGCGACATTAAGCATTTGTCTACAATAAATGTAGTCGCCAGCGTGGCGCAGTGGTTAGGAGTTGATCCTTACGTCGCAGGTTCGAATCCACTGCGGGACGTGGAGACCGGTCCTTCGGATGAGACCGTATAAACCGAGGCCCCGTGTCGCAGAAGGCGTTGGCACGAAAAAGATCCCTCACTACTCAAAGGCCCTGAGTGCCGAGTATAGGTATAAATTTGCAGCCCTCCACCGGCAAGTGGTGGCGTCTCCATATGAGTAAAAAATTCTTGAGAGGGACACTAAACAACAAACAAAGAAAACAATAAATGTAGATGGTAATTACTGATAGATATTCCAGCTATAGCACCACCAGTCAGAGCTGCTGGTGACTGCAATGTTCTGAACTGCACAAATACGGGGTCACTTCTTTGTGCTCCATATTGTGTGACAAAAGACAGGTTATAACTGGTCTCTGAATTCAGTCCTGTCAAATCAACCCAGTCGGCGTCCGTATCTAAAAAACGAGTCTGAATCTGACCATTGGATGAACGAAACTGCAGTAAAACCTTTGACCTCTTATAACAAGTTGGAGAGACAATCCACTTCAGACGTACACTGTTGTCGTAGGTTTCAGTGACAGTTAAGTTGATAGGACCAGAGTCTGAAAATATAATTGTTATAAAATTTAAAGAATTTCGTTGACCAAAACCTGTAAAAAATTACAACTGACCTAATTTTTTTCTCTTGATTTCAACGAATAATGGTGAAATGCTATGAAAAGGCTTTACAAAATGATTTGAAAGACAGATAAAGATACTTGCATTTATCCATGCCATCAAGTGAAGGCAAATCTGTTATCTGGGAAAAAGCAGTGAAATATCCTGTGAATTTTCCAAAAAAAAAAAAAGAAGAAGAAGAAGAAAATCTACGTTTTTTCAACAGCTTCTCTTTTAATATATTCTTACTGTCATATGGTAATATGTCGCTTCCATTGCCCTGTTGAATACAGTTAGATTTAATAAGACAAACTCCGCTGCGAATTTTTCCTTCGAAACAACCATCCAGCAGTTATTTATCTCAAAATAGTGACTGTAATAAAAATAGTCTCCCATGGGTGTTCTGTATCCTTCCTGAAATGTCGGTTCCACCTTAATTAAACAGAAAAAAAATGTTTCAATTTTAGAAAAAACATATTTATTTAAAATTTAAAAAAAAATACATGTACAAATGTTATATTATCTAATCCATAAAAATTATAATTTTTTCCCTTAGAAATTAGTTTACGACTGAACATCGGTAATTTTCAACTGCAAGGGACAAATAAAATTTGAAAGTTTTTCATTTCCAATAATAAAAATAACTTGATGTGTGGGAAAATATAAAAAAAAATGAAGTATACTTCAGTTTTATTTCCTGGAATATCAGCTTCATGGAATACCATGTTGCTGCTGTTCGCTATAAGCTCCAAGTGAATCTTATGAATACCACTATCTTTGTCAAACGTGTCTACCTGCAGTCTAAGAATACCAGTTAGCAATGAATTAGTCAAAAATAGTGTTTAATCGTCAAGTATACAAACAAAATAATTCCAAATACAGATACAGTTCTGAAATCAAGGCTTGCACATGCAAAGACATTTTCTTACCGACTTGAAAAATCATACATGGCGGTTTTAACGTTACGTGTGAATACAACATTTGAATGTTTTAGCTGCTTTGGTGGAGTTGAATCAAAGAAAATTTTTGCCATGTCCACTTTTTTGTTCCCCATGGCGTCTGTTGCCCTGACCCAAAAATTAATTGTGTCTCCATCTCGTCTGTCTATATAGAATGTTTGATTTTCCGAAAACTCGTTGTTTACCGAAATCCATGAATCAGGCGTCTTGTTGCCTTGGTTACCATTTCTAAAGAAATATTCAAACTTGACAATTCCATGAACATTCGGAATTCCTTTTAGAGTTCTATTTCCTGTGCTATCGTCTAGTTGTGATGGAACTTGTTTTTCATATTTTGTCATATGATCGAAGTGTTGATAACGTGCTACTGGATACAGGAGTTTATTGGTTTCATGGAATTTGTTTTCAAAGTGTCCTTTCCATGTCATTGTTATGTTGTTGTTGAGGCTATTCTGCCACGTATGATTTGTTTCTGGTTCTGCACTTGTTGCAAAAAATGGTGAAGATGATAAAGTGATTGTCGAATGTGGATCGTACAGAGCCAAAGTACGAGCGTACTGTGTATTGTTGGCAACGTCTATTACGTTTAAAATAAACGAATACATCCCGGCTTGTTTAGGAATATAGGTAAAGCTCGAGTCTGTGACGTTGAGGGGTATTTCTGTGAGAGGATTCCAGGGAAAGGGTTCCTTGAGGTGTGTTTTATTCGGTTTCAGCAAATAAACCTGTAGTTTGTATCCTTGGAGACCCGATAGATCATCTATCCAGTTGTTCCATATAAAGGCTAGGGGGAACTTTAAAAAGAGAGAATGGACAATAATTATTTCATTTCGTTTTTAATACTGAATAAAAAATTCTACATGAGTTTCAAATAATCTTAAGAACCTTTGTAATATCTTTTGTAACATCTAATGCTTTTGCCGCGCAGGGTCCAACTTGAAGACAATGACGGGGTTTCTCAAAGTCAAAACGAAACATTGTAGATTTTCTTGACTTTTGGCCTACGAACAAATCCGTTTTATCAGCGTGTGGTCCCACTAGCTCTCTAAAGCCCCCATTTTCAGCAATAACTGTTAACGTCAAACTGTTAAAAACAGAGTGTGAAAAAGAAAAACATTTCAACAGTAATTTGGTAAAAATGACATCCTCTCAAGCATTTATACCAGCAAAATTCTAAGTATTTGACAACTGCTGTAAACGTACTTTTTCCATGGGTTATAATTTTGTGGAATCGCTATTTCGGCTTAATCCGCGAGTAAACATTACGTAGGATTCTTGTATGCGAAGATTTAATTGTTTTTAAATTAATCAAATTCTTCATGCAATAACAACCAAAAGTTCCTCTAAATTTTTATAGGGATCCTTGTAAGAACTGTTCCCTGTGAATCGTAATCATGGGTTATCGTACTGGTTGCGCACTTACTTGTTGATCCTCAAAATGTTGAGGTACTAGTTACAAATGTGTTTGTGATTTTTATTTTTAAAAATTTAAAGGAACTAATTTGATCAATTTAATAAAGTACTACAAAACAAAAATGGATCTGTAATACAGCGCCTGCATAATTGAGTCATTTTCCGCAGATCTGCTCGAGTCGTCTGGCAATTGTCAATATCTGTAGTGGGAAATTCAAGTTTGACAAACTATGGATTTTTTTTAAAATTCAATGTAAAATGTATAAATTTTATTAAAATTCATTTAAATGGTTGAAAGTACGCAAAATATTGTAATAAGTACCAATCCTTATGTTACACTGATGGAAGGGCCTACTTCTTAAGAAATCTTTCGGACAAATGGTTGTTAAAAAACAAGAAAACAAAAAACCCAGCAAAAAATAAAAATATATAATAATAAATAAATAAATAAATAAAAAACAAAAAACAAAAAAAGTTTAAACTATAGTTTATGGTTTATTGATTGATCAATGGAATCAGCTTTATGGTAAAACTTAAGGGAACAGATTTCTTTTTTCATTGAATTATTTGCTCATCAAATGACAGAACCACATTTTTGTCATGTGTGGCATAGTAATACACTATGCTGGACTTGTAAACAGATTTCTAATTACTGAATAAAAATAAAGAAAATATCACCTTTTTATTGAATCAAGGATAAGGTAAAAAAGTAGATAAAATATTTTTTTTTGTCTTATGATGTGATCATACTGTTTGGTCACCTGATGATTTTATGGTTTAGGAAAATAATCACGTGAGCAAACTGTTTGATCACATTAAAAAAAAAAAAACAAGACAATTATTTCCTGAATAATTTTCTTGTGGATGTAAATCATAATAAAGTTACGTTACAATAGGATACTCTTTTTATGTCAAAATCGCACTTGAAGTACGCTGGGTGAAATTGTGATAATTTTTTGCGGAATATAAATTAATCCCAAGCGGAAAAAGTACATCTACATGCAGTAATTAAAAATTCTGGAGACAATAAATGAAGGCATATTTCATGATTTTTACTTGTCTCCATTTTCTAGTAATCTGTCGAAGTTTTCTTCTGTGAAGTTGCAGTGATAGATATCGTCGTTTGGATTTAGAGAGCCTGGTTGGTAACTGCAGTTCTTCACCTCATTTTGGCTTACAAAGGGGTTGTTTGGATCTAATATCATAGAAATCAGTCATTCTTATCATCTGTATTTAAGTTGTATTTTACAACTTTTCGGACAAGTGAAAATGACTAAATATTAAATTGTTTTTAAAAGAAAGACGTATAACACTGATCAAAGAAATTAAAACAAAAAGCAAAACCAAGTTTTTTAAAATTGGAAATTCAACGAGTTTAATCAGCATAATTTAAATTATATTTATACAGATAATTCTAACCTATTCTATCCACTTTCCTTAGGTCGATCTGTATTTTTCCGGAAACGATTCCAAATTTAAATCGTTTTACATATTTTGGCAGTGCCAGGTCGTCTGGAGCTGTATAGACAGCGGCAAATTCCACGTTAATATAGTTGTAATCCTTCTGGTTGACCCACATTGTGTCTACTCTGGTTGAGTTTGGTTCAGAGGAATCGGTTACAAAGCGGTACTTTTCCCTCTTCTCTCCACTTCTTTCAATATTAGCCAGAACGGACGTACACCGAGTAATTAATGGACCCCACCCTGAAGTCACTGTCAACAGAAAGTTTATATTAAAAATTTAATTGGTGATGTTGGGAATGAAAAGTTTGTAAAATGAAACGCGTTTTACTTTTTTTAAAGGTTGATTTAGAAACAAACTATATAAAGGGGAATAGAATATATATTGGAAAAATGTCTTCATTTCCGTAATGCATTTTTGAAAATACTATTATACAATATACAATGACAGGTCAGAAGAATCTGATTTTAAGGTTATTCTTAGTCTTACTTGTTTTGCATCGTTGATATTCATGCTGACCAGAAAAACCTGCATGGCACTGACAAATTGTAGAGTTAGTACATGTCCCGGGAAAACATGGCGAACGATAGGAGCACAGGGCTGTAAAAAAGAGGATATGACAAAGGAATTTTTTTTTTTTTACATTTATGAGCGATATGACTTCAATAATTCAAGATTCGAACAAAATGAACGGAATCTGAATCTTAGAGTAAGGTTTATCTAGATGAAAATCAAAGAACAACCTTTCCAATAGATTGCTCTGTCTGCATTTTATATAAATCAAGGACCTACAGTACTGTATAATATATTTCTACTGTATAATATATTTATACTGTATAATAGCTAAGCACATCGGTGCTTATTAGAACTTATTGTTGGATAAGCTATGTTAAAAAATATTATAAAGGAAAAATATTGATTTGCATTGTAAAAACGTACGTGTTTCGCACAGTCGTCCTGTATAGATATCGTCGCATGAACACACGTTAGGGTAGATGCATGTACCGCTGTTTTTGCAAGTTGGATTGCAAACAGCTGCAATGAAACAAGACGCTGCTCTTACACTTAGATAAATTAGTATACATGTAGTTAAGGCTAATTATGTTCACTATGTAAAGTGCGCCTTTCATCTTTTTTTCCCTTTACTATAAGTCTGTGATTGATAGCTAACTGGTTGGGTTGCATTTAAACCAAATGTATAAATTCTCATTCCAAATAAATTCCATACCCCGAATCTTTACAAAGAATTAATTTATTTTTTCCCCCCACTACACCCTATTCTTATATAGATTACCATTTTGAATATCTTTCTATAGCTTTGAATGCAGACATTTAGTGTGGAACATTTTTTTTTTATTAATGACATTCTAGGAAAATATACCTAAAAGAGATACCTACGTGTTCCACAGTCCCTCCCTCTGTAAGTACTAGGGCACTGACACTGCCTTGAATTTGAACAAGTCCCTCCATTTAAGCACGGAGGATTACAAATGGCTGAAAATAAATATATTTATATATATATAAATATATTTTTGTGGATAAATGTATGTGTGATAATAATATAGGTAAGCTTTTTGTTTTTGATGTTTTTAGTACATACTGAAAACACTTAATATATAGTATAATTAGATTAACAATCATATTTGATCACAAATCAAACGAAAAAGTATTCATTTTAGGGTTTCGAACAACTTTCAACAATATAATTCAAAGAATTTGTGTCCTTCAAAAAGAAGGTGGAAGAAGTGAAAAAAAAATGCAGATGGAAAAAGAAAAAAATAGCCCTGACTTTTCATCTTTTAGCCTTAATGTCAATTAGGGTCTTTTTTAATGTTAAGAAATTCATGACCTTACGTTTCATTGCAAAGGCTTAAAGAGAAACAAAGTTATAACATGTAATGTATCTGTGCAATATGTAAATTGACCTTGGTCCTTGACCTTTTGACCTCACTTTTGATATTCACTAAAAGTATAAAATTTCATTGCAGAACCTCAAAAAGAACTACTCTACCAGTTATTACCAGGAAAGCATTTTATTTGAGAAATGCTAAAAGAGAGCAAAAGTTTTCATCTGGAAATCTTTTTAGCAATATATGCATTCATGACCTTGACCTTTGCCCTTTTGACCTCAAAATCAATAAGGTTTTTTGAAGTCATATGGAGTTTTTATATAAAACATTATTGCAAAAGCTCAAAGGCTTTTTGAGATATCGTCCGGAAACGAAAGTGTTACACACTGACAAAAATGACAGACAGGCAGACGGACGGGCTCAAATGAAATTAATATTTCTCATTTTCAGTGAAAGCGGGGGACAAAAATGAATACATGAATGCAATGTTAGCTAAGATATTACTCTTAGCAATTATAAACCTTTTAAAGGTTACCCAGCCAAATGATTCTCTACAGTTAATAAGAATTTAATTAAAAGGTCTTTGATCAATTATAATTACAAGTTATGTTTATAGTATTGTACATATTTTATTTACAAGTTAAGCTGGATAGTACCTTTGTACATGTAACACTACATAATCGGAAATAAAGTTATTAAAGACTAAATTTAGAATAATTATGATACACTTACGAATATCACAGTTGTGACCTGTGAATTTGCCGGCTGGACATTGACATGTGTCTGGTCTGGTGCACGTCCCTCCATGCTGACAAGCTGGATTACATACGGCTGTAATAATTCACAGCAATTTCATTAAATTCATATATGAAACATAATTCTTTACTACGAATTCACTTATTTTAGTGGGGGGTTAATTTTCGTTGATTTCGTGATTTGAAGAGATCCACGAATTCGTGCTCTCCACGAAAAAATCAACTATACCTTCATAATGCTTCTACAACAACGAAATTAAATCATATATACGAACCAATATTTTGTTTCTCATACCGCTAAAATTTGACACCATGAAAATATGTGATTTCACAGTATACCGGGTCCAAGACGATTAATTACTGTGCAAATTAATTTAATGTGCATTAAAAACCATGTTCATACACAGAATTAAAAACAAAAAATTGCAATTTCATGCACAAATGTTCAACATATCATAATCATATTCTGAGAAATTGAAAATTTTACGTCTTTGGCAGTGTCTACCGCTGTACCCCCAGTAACAAGAACAGACGTTGGGACGGGTACACGACCCGTGCTGACACCTAGGATTGCAGACAGCTGTAACAATATGAAAAATAATCACATTCATAAATTTAAGAAGTCTTACGATTAATATTCTAAGAAAAGTCGTTTATTTTGAAATTCATGCTCATCTATTAATACTTTTTATAAGTTTATTCAGGGTATAACTTTGGGCAATACAGTCCATCAGTTTACAAAAATAACATATAATAACATACTTTACAAAATTTAAGACTCTAATACATGTATATTGAGTTTTTATTGAATTATACGTCTTACGTGTTTGGCAGGCGTTTCCGGTATAGCCACTGATACAGGTGCAGGTGTCAGGTGCGACACAGGTGCCCCGGCCGTGACAGTGACTACTGCATATAGCTAAAACCAAACCACTTCTATTCATTTAAGGAATACAACGCTCTCTTTGGTAGAATGTTACAGCTGTTGCAGAAAATATACATAACGGGTTATCTAATATTTTTTTCTGCAACAGCTGCAACCATAATTCCCATACTAACAATTCCATGATTTGAACAATTTAGAATTTGCACTACCTTTGGAAGCTTCCATATAAGTTTCATCTGCTCTGGTCTAGTGGTTCTTAAGAAGAAGATTTTTTAATGACTCCTCCCTATTTTTGCCTCTTCTTGATTATCTCTCCTTAGAAGAGGACTTTCCTCTTCATTTTAACAATTTAGAATCCCCTTCACCCAGGGATGCTAGATGTATCAACTTTGGTGAAAAATTGGCCAAGTGGTTCTTGAGAAGTTGAAAATGTAAGTTTACAGACGGACGGACAGACAGACGGACGCCGGACAACAGGTGATCATAAAAGCTCACTTGAGCTTTCAGCTCAGGTGAGCTAAAAATCAATTATTACAAATAGAACAAAATCAGATACAAGTCCCTGTGAATGTCTAATTATTGTTAAAAGTTTGATCAAATTGTGTGCATGTACGTAAAAGATCATCTATATACAATTAATGTATGATAAAAAAAGAGTAATTAATTGGGCAGGCAGATTTTCGGTCTTATGATACTTAATTTTTTAATTATATTCTATATTATTTTTACTATTTTTTTTTTTACATTTATCATTAATCTAATATTTCCTTTGAAAACCCGACGAGACAAAGATACATCAATTTTAACTTTTTAACAATGTAATACAAACACAGCATATTGAACCGAGGTCGTTTTGTTTTTTAAATGTTCTATGAAGTGGCCAAGATTCTTGCGTAAATATTACGCATAATAACTAGTATACTATAAGAAGATATTGGTAAGATATCCTAAAATCCCTTTAAAGATCAAAGTTGAGTTTATTCCTCGTCCTCATTGAATCATTGTTGTTTAACAGTTGTTTTATTATTAAAGAGTATAATTTTAATTTATAAATTTTGTTTTAAAGCGGCTAATTGATAATGAAGCTTCTCTTAATTGTTGGTAAATGTAAGCCCCAGACTTACCACCTGTTGATAAAATGTGTGTATTGGGCAATGTGAGTTATATTGTAGCTAGCATTGCTAGACAGAGGATAGGGGGCCTTCTGGTCGTCAGATAATACCCATGATAATTTACAGAGGAATGGAGACAACTATGCCATGTTTTCTAAAGGATGTCGGAGGCATAGTTAATTTCCGAGCTGTTGACCGTGAATTGATATTTGCATATTAATTGGCTAAATAGTAAAGTATATAGGGCGTTTTTTTATGGATAATATACATGAAGGTGGTAAAATCAAACAATTATCTTTTTCCCTTATTAAAACATTAATTTGTTACAAATCCATTTTAAAACAATTTTACTAATTAAATTCAAAAAAAAAAAATTCTTCATTTGAGCTGCTTAATAGATCGCAACACCTTTTAAGCTCACCTGAGCTTTTCTGATCGAAATGTGTCCGTTGTCTGTCGTCGTTGTTGTAAACTTGTTACAATTAAACTTTTTTTTACTATTTCATTTTCTTCTCCGGAACCACTGGGCCAATTTTAACCAAACTTGCCACAAAACATCCTTGGGAAAAGCCAGGAGATTCAAGTTTGTTCAAATAAAGAACCATGTCTTTTTAAAGGGGAGATAATAATGGATTAGTGAAAATTTAATAGCATCTTTTAAATCGTTTCTCAGAACCACTAGGCCAGAAAAGTAAAAGCTTAAGCGCAAGATCCCTGAAGGATGTAGATTCAAGTTTTTCAGAACATGACTCCCGGGGGGGGGGGACATTAGGTGTTCAAAATTTTATATAGGAATATATTGGAAAAATCTTTCTTTAATAAACAAAGAAGCAATTATTACGAATATTGATTCTCATATTGTTTAGATTCAAGTTCGTTCAGATCAAATATTTTATTGAATTACAAAGAGGAATTTAAAAAAAATCTGATGATGAAGAACAGGAGGGTCATAATGACTGAGGTGAGCGTTGTGGCCCATGGGCTTCTTGTGAACAATGTATGCGAGCGGATTGAAAGATCATATTTCAATTGGATTGCATCCTAACGTTCAAATGAAGAAACCCTTGCAAGTCTTAATTAACCGAAAAAAAGTTTAACCTGGTAACAGTAACATTGACTGTTAGATAAGATGTACTTACGCTGACAATCCCAACCTCCATATCCAGGACAACACGTCTCTTTGTAAGACTCACGATACCGCCACACCCAGGAATGGTGAGTACTGAAGAAAATACAACAAAGAGCATTCAAGTGAGTTGTAGTCATAAACTAGTAATAGCTATAATAGTAATAATAATAAGCTAGCTAGAACTCTCGACAAGGTATATTCATCGTGGACTGACTTTTTCTTCGACTGAGAAAAAGACACTTTTTACATCTCCAGAAAATAACCATTAATGTTATTTTTGAAATCTGTAAATTTTAAACAATTTTTTACTCGCTTAATTATTGCTAAAGCACGTGTTTATTACGCAATTTCCCTCTAATATTTTTATTCTCCCGCTATAATCCCCAGGGTATTGAAATTGAATGAAAAATGAAGTACATAATGTTTAGCTGTGGAGACTTACCAAATTCCCCACCACCGACACGTACACACCCTTGCCTGGTAAGAAGTTACCACCCTTACGGTATTTTTACAAGTAGCAGCTGAAGTGATTCTGGAAAAAATAAGATGTTTATCCTTTAAAATTGATAAAACAGATAGTAAATACACTGTCATGTAAATTAAACACAATGAAAAACAAAAAGAAGTGATCAGTTTAAAATATTTAAAAAAAAAAAAAATAATAATAAAAAATCATGCTTTAAAAAAAAGAAGAAGCTACTTTTCAGAATTATCATCTCTCCCACGGATCCAACGTAATGACTTTTTGCATTTTTTCACACTAGGCAATGCCTTGGTCTTTGAACTAAGTTCGATTAATAGTTTTTTTCACTTAAACTTTCTGCTTTGAAACAGTATATCAATTTTTATTTTTGTATACTGATATGGAAATTCATGATCCATGAGGCTATACGACTAAGAAAATGACCACCAATTTGGAAGGGATCTATCCTTATTCGTGATTTGTTAGTAACGTAATAAAGTAGATCATGTTCGATTTTTAAAAGTATATCTCTGAAAATAACGACTACCCCCTGATAATCAAATTAGCATTTAAAAAAACATTTGTGAACAGAGAAAAATCGTGTTATAACTATTTGTTTCAACTTTCCAGAATTAGTTTGGAAATGATAAAACCTTAACATTTTCTGATTTTTTTATCTTACAAGACAAGTCAAAATTCATTTGCTATCATCAAGGAAAATGTAAAAGCGTTTTTGTTGGACAAACTCTGACTGGTTAGCAACTTTGGATTGATTTTTACGTTGCTAAACACTCAACAATTGTCAGAATATTGAAGAGATATCGGTAAGGAAGTTCATAAAGTGAATTTTATTTGAAATTTGTGAGATCTTTCCTTTTTAAATCGGAGCGGAATTTCATAAGGCTTATCTAATATCCAATCAATTCTGTTTAAATAAAATATTCAAGAATTTAATCTCTCTATTTCACCTCCCAAGTATAAATTTGTTTCCGCTAGCAACAGTTTATAATACTGGTTTAAATCAATATTGAAAAAAAAAAAAATAAACTAAAGTAATTTTTTTCATCAATTAATAGTAACTAGGGAAAAAAGTAAACAGGGCCATTTCTCGATCTGTCTTAAAATTAATTTGTTAATTTTCTTCCTTTTGCAATTGTCAGCATACATGTACAAGAAATACATGATCAAGAAATATCGCTTCTGCATTTCATTAGAAGAATAGCTCATTTTGAGTTTATGTAGAGAGCTTCTTATTGAAAGTAAGGTATAACGTGTATTAGAATTTTGATGGGTTCTGTAATCCTTTATTCTTATTTACTTGGATATCCGTATTTACTGAACTCATAATAAAAGACATCACAGAGTCTGCCACATCCTTTTCATACTTGGATGTTTTACTGACTATACACATTGATGATAACTAACAACCAGATTATACGATGAACGGGATAACTTTTCCATCTTAAACTTTGCCTGCTTATGTACATAGTAATATTCCACTATCACCTGTGTTTGGTGTTTATGTCTCCCAACTGATTCGGTGCCCTAAAGCATGTGCTGAGCCCCACCCAAACACCAGAACCCATGAAATTCACAATTTTGGAAGAGGCATCCTTGCTCATCATAACTCATGCGTTTAGTTTGTTTGCTTAATACTAAGGAGCAGATTTTCAGAGCAATAATTCATTTTCAGTAAAGAATCATTAGCCCCCCCCCCCCCCCCCGAAACCCTGACCATGAAATTCACAATACTGGAAGAGGCACCCTCGCTCGTCATAACTACGTACTTAGATCATCGGCTTAATACCCAGAAGAGAAGATTTTTAAAGAATTAATGCATTTTCACTATATAATTATTATAATACTGCCCTTACACCAGCACCTCTGACCCAGATGCCATGGAATTCACAATTTGGGAAATTTGGGTATTTATCCTCATTATAACTATGTACAAAGTTCATTGGCTTTAAACCCAGGGTTAGAGGAGAAGATTTTGAAAGAATTAATGCATTTCACCATATAAACATAAGGGCCCCGCCCTTACAACAGAACCTCTGACCAAGGGGCCATGAAATTCACAATTTTTGAAGGGTCACCAATGCTCATCATAACTATGTACTTAGATCATCGGCTGAAGCAGAGAAGATTTTCAAAAAAAATAATGCATATTTTCACTATATAATCATTAGGGCCCCACCCTAACACCAGAACCTCTGACCCACGTTTTAATTAAATATAACGAAAAAGACAAATAGGAGGCTGGGTGTTAGTATCATTATTTTTTAAATTGAACAGACCTTCCTGTTCAATTTTTTTCAACAAGGAACTTCCCCGCTTCTTAGAATCAATCTTAATATCTCTCACAGTACCAAGGTAGTCACTTTCTTGTATTTTTTCTAAATCACATACATGTACCTTGGCCTTTAAAGGGCCATGGGCACGATTTTGGTCAAATTTTATTTTTCCACTTTTATTGTTTATAATGCTTTACTCAAGTATTGTTAATGGCCAGCCAAACTTTATATGTGAGGTGTCGAGTTATAAGCAAGATACAAAGCTCAGTAAGTGAAATCTGGGAAAAAATTCAAGATTGGATAAAAGAACTATGTGGAATTGATATTGCAATGAATAAATTGGACATTATTATTGGAAAAGATGATAAGTATTATAACATTACATATCTAATAACATGTATTGTAAAGAAGCACATATACCGAAAAAGATGTTTAAAACAAATTCCTTCATTTGAAGGAGCTAAAAACGAAATTTTGTATTATTATAAATGTGAGAAATATATTTACAAGAAAAACTGTGATATTGAGAAATTTGATAGAAAATGGAACTGTCTACCATTAGAACATGTACTGCATAATTGTTTTGTTTGAGATGAACCTCCTGTTGCTCAAACTACTTATTATTGAAACAATGATTTTTTTTGGGTAAAATTTAGATAATTAAGCTTGCATATATATGTCTTGTATGGCTGAGGTGTGAATGTTGGCTTTTCTTTCCCTTTTTTTGTACATAAAAAATTCACCTGTCACAAGATGTTTAGTATAGGAACTTCGTCAGATTAGTTTGCAGAATCCAAGGCTCCCCAAACTTGGCTGTAAACTTATTGATCATCATATTCATGTGATGGGGTAATAAAAAAAAAAAAAAAAAAAAAAAAAAAAGATACAAAGCTCACAATTCTTTGTTGTGTTTGTTTGTTTGTTTATTGTTTAACGTCCCTCTCGAGAATTTTTCACTCATACGGAGACGCAACCACTTGCCGGTGGAGAGCTGCAAATTTTGACCTATACTCGGCACTCAGGGCCATTGAGCAGTGAGGGAACTTTTTCGTGCCAGCACCTACTGCGACACGGGACCTCGGTTTATACAGTCTCATCCAAAGGACCTGTCTCCACGTCCAACAGTGGGATTCTAACCCGCGACGTAAGGATCAACTCTTTACTCCGCGACTCTAGAGCGAACGCTCTAACCACTGCGCCATGCGGTCTTTGTTGTGTAAACAAAATTCGTGCCATGTTTTTGTGAACATTGGTTCAATATTCCGGTGAAAGTTCTTTTACATGCAGTTTTTTTTACTACCTGCAAGTTCGTTTAAAACACCTGGCGTTCGTCACATTTTAGGATTAAACCTGGTATTTTCTACCCATTACTTAGGATGTAGACAAAAACATGGCTCGAGCTTTGTTTACATAACAAAGAATTCTGAGCTCTGTAACTCACTTATAACTCAACGACGGACACTAAAATTTTGGCTGATCATTAGGATTATGTGAATAAAGGATTTAAAAACATTAAAAATGGAAAAATAAAATTTGACCAAAATTGTGTCCATGCCCCTTTAAACTAGGTTTCAATCAATGTAGTATTTTCACCTTATTCTCTCTTTTTTGAAACGGTCAATCAAATTTAACTTTTATATTTCATAGTCTTCGAAAATTTGATATTATGAAAACAGCTAGCAATCTGGAAAGAGATTCGTCCATAAGCCCGTTATTTTCGTGATCTGTCAGTATATCGTAGTACTTGACGCGTCGCGTATGATCGAAATAAATCGGGGAACACCGAAAATAACCGTAACTGTGATAGGTATGCACATGTATACTGGACAGCAATGAACATTTTCAATTTTCTTGACTTTTAAAAAGTCCTTTCATACTTCCTGATATTTTCTTTGAAGACAAGTCGAAATTTATTTCTGTCGTCAGGTAGAAGCGCTCCTGTTGCGCAGACAATGGTGTCAACACTGATAAATGAGTGTTTGCTTAACACAACTTCTGTCCGATTATGACTGGAGATCATTATAAGGAAGTTTTCTTAGGATTTAATACGGGAAAATGCACAAGTTTATGTCGTCACAATTGGCATTTAGGAGGCCGTGTAAGAAAAACGATTTGTATTATCGTAATTACTGCATGAAGTTTGAACAATTCAGAAAGCACGAGTTTTAATTTCTCACAACAATTTCATATTTCACAAAAATACAGGGCCAGATTTGTATTGAAACAGTACCTTCTTCTTTGCATACGTATACCTTCTATACAAAGTCACTCTTTGGATGAAGTTAAAGTCCGACTCGTCCAAGGCCAGAAAATCTATACTTCAGACAAGATTTAACAGTGAAGTCTGTTTTGATCTTTTTTACACAATGTTCTGCTTCAAATTTTAACTTTTGCCTTTGAAAACCAAGCTTAAGGTCAAACGATACGTTCCTCAAATTTCTGTTTTGTATATCTTCGTATTGTGTGGAAAATATTCAAAATTTTAATTACCTTCCGATTTCTAAACTGGTTTCTAATTGTCTTTAAAAAATTGAAACTCTAAAAAATGTGTTATTGGCTAATAAAGTTTTTTCCACAAGGATGGCATCTGACCTAAAAAGTGGTTCAAGGTCACTGCATACCCTTCATCCATTTGCACTCTATGGGTGAAGTATGACCCATGCAGATAGAGCCAAAGGGAGATTTACACAGACCTTGACCTTTGATCTAGAAAATTGGTTCTTGGTCACTTCACACCTTCACCCACGGGCACTCTGTGCGCGAAGTTTGAGACGGATTTGGAAACCAGCAGAGCGATCACTAGACCCACAGAGCGGGGCCCTCATTAACAGTAGATTACATTTGTTTAAATCTATTGAATAAAGGTAATTTTTCAAATGCAATAGGTACTAGGGAAAAGTCAACAGGGCCATATCTCTCTTTCAGAAGCAATCTGACTCATTCTTTTATCAGCGTATTACATTTGTCAACATTCATGGGACGCGTTTTCTTTCTTTCTTTTTTTTAAAGATAATTCTGAATTAAAATTATAAAATCAACAGATGATATTAGTGAGATGAAATTTGTTTGTAATTCGTCAAACCGTATTTAGAACTTTTGATAAGTTTTTTGTGTTTCTATAAAAGGAACACACATCACACATTTTAAAAGAACATACGACAGAAAATTTAAAAAAAATGTGAAAAAATACTTACTCAAACTGATTCAACAAAAACCAAGAAAACAAGAAAACAAACAAGTTCTGCATTGTGACGAACCAAACTATTCGGTGTCCAAAGTTGTTAATAAACTCTGGTCACTGATATTTTCTTTTATCGCCATACAACGCGGAAGTATAAACATCATGTAGCTGATAACAAGCTTTTCCTTTAAAAAGATAGGTGAGCTAGCGCTGTAGCCATTATAAAACACAGAAGTAGATATCTGAACCATTGTTTTATTTTACTCATTCGATTAATTATTTATAGGAAGTGATCACTGGGGTGTGGTAATTCACTCTGACCAAAGACGCCAGTTCTTTGAGGGGCTGTGACAGGTCCTTCGGATACATGTAAGAGTGAATTTAAAAAAAAAAAGACCAAACACATATTAATCAACCTGCACTAAAAATAAAGGCAATGGGAATAAATTTCTATGTCTCAGCATATGTCTTTAGATAGTGTCTAAATACCTGCCAAATATCTCCTTGATATACATGTATCTCAATTCACTAAAAGCTATATCCAAAAATGATGCTAAAAACGTCAGGATTGCAACACCTTTTTGTAACATTTTGAAAATTCAATATTTTTTGAAGATCTGTGAAATAAATAATAATGGTTTACGTTAGAAGTATATAAAGATAACATTCAAAGTATATTGAGCTTTAAATGTAGACTGTAGCAACTGTTGTTTGACCAAGTTGTGTCGATGGCTGATGAAATATATGGAGATAACGAACAGTATTCAAGCTCAAAAGTCCATTATACAATACAAAATAGGAGCAGAGCAAACACGGACCTCCAAACATCAGAGGTGGGATCAGGTGCCATGGAGGAGTGAGCATCCCCTGCCGACCGGTCACACCCGCCGTGTGCTCCTTGTCATGATCGGGAAATAACGGAAAAATCCGCCGACAATTATTGAAAAATATTATACCAAATCAGCAATGCAACGGAAAAATATGCCAAAAAAATCAATTTTAAAAATCTGGTAGACAATTAAGTCAAAAAAGAATTTTCAAAATGTAAAACAATAATTGCTATACAATTTAAAACTTAAAAATGTTATATAAATCACAAGCAGCATTAATGAGAGTCAAGTATCTGTGCATACCCAATAATGTCAGGAGTGAAACATTTGATGTTTTGTTTCCCAGTGTCCTTTCTGACATATTTCATTTTGTCAAATAAAATCTGCAACATATTTTGGAAAATAAAGACACAAAGGACATTTTTACCAAATAGATCTATCATTTACAGGGTCTGTCTGTGTTTCAGATCTATATTTCTATGGTCAGCAGTGCAGTTAACATTTTTTTTTTAAAGATTGAAGTTATATGATAAAAAGACTTCTATTCATACAAAGGAATATCCTTAATTAATAATGATCTATTGAATAATTTAATACTAAACTATTGACAGTTTTATTATATTAAAATCCTTAATATTCTCCTTTTGAGATGTATCAATTCAGATGTGTTTTTATCTATTGTTTGATTTTTTTATGATTGTAAAAAAATAAACAGACTGAAAATTTGTTATAAAATTCAAGTAATTCCTCCTCAACCTCACTGAAACAACAGAACAAGTTCTTATATGTAATTTTCACTTCACAATTCTACTTTAAAGACCCTAATGCTTTTGGTCAGGAGTACAAAAAAAATGGTATAATTATTGCTGATCAAATATAAATAAATATATAAAAACAATTGATGAGTAAAATGTTTCTGGTTGACCTCAATTGCTTAGTGTTTGTCCTGTGAAGGAAAATATACTATGAAATATATTTTATCTTCTAATTATATATTTTTGCTAGTTTTTGACATAAATGGGGAATAATTCAAGATATAAAGCCAAGTTTTAATACTTTCATGTGTTTTAATTATTATGAAGTATTGGACTATAAATATTGCACAATTTCATTACCACTTGATGTTGCCAACACTTTATGAATTTTTGTGTTCTATGGTTTTAATTTTTAATTTTACTGCAGTCAGGAATGCAACAAAACTGTTTTATAATTATCAACGATCTTAATCTATCTTTACTGAAAAATAAATTGAAAACAAGATGTGTTTGTGAAACACTGATGCCCCCGTATGGCAGCTTATGGCGAAGGTTAAAGTTTCTCAAATGCAAGTCAAAATCCAGGCCAAAAGATAAAAAATGTTAAATTTGAAAGCCCTAGCTGCAACTGTTCAGAAGTTATGGCCAAGGTTAAAGTTTTTTAAACGTAAGTAAAACAAGTTTTACTTCGCCTTGGGAAATAGTCCTGGCCTTGGGAAAGTGGAATCTTGCTAACTCCCTCAATGATATACTTTAACTGTATACTGACAGACCTGTATACAATGAAATTGTTAGACCGATGCAAAAAACATTAACTTTGTTGGACTTTTTATTTGAAATAAATATATAGAAAGATATTTATAAGGGTATAACAATTATTATTAAGGCACAGTATATTAACATATATTAGCCAAGTGTCTGGTTTGTTTCCTCTTCGCCCCCTTGGCTGATCTAGCTAAGTTTCAAAGCTCACAATTTGACTTTAGATGGCATCTAATCAAAATGCGTCAGGAAAACGCACGTTAAACCTTTCTTCTTTCCTCACTCCTCAGTGAATTGATCGTATTAATACAATCCATCTGACTGGATTAAAGCTGACATCACCAATAATGATAACTCGGTTAATTTGCTAGGTGGCAGTTATACGCCTACTAAATATGCCAAGTGAGGAAATACTTGTCAGATACTTGGTTAGCAAAGATGATATATTAAACATTGTGCATCTTTTCATATACATGTATGTAGTTAAGAAACTAAGTTAATTTTCAAAAATCCATAATAATATAATTATGTTCCCCAAACGGAGTTTGGGAACATATTGTTTTTACTCTGTTTCTTATTATTATTATTATTATTATTATTATTATTATTCTTTTTTCTTCTTATTTCTTCTCCGGTATGCATGCACGTGTGTGCGCGTGCAATGGGTAAAATGACCAATATACTTGATATAGCTGTAATTTTTATATTTTTTGGTGAAATGCTTTGATACTCAGAATATAAGGATATATTAAAAGTGTGAACAAGATGACATGGTCAACATGCACATGCATGCGCGTGCGCGCACGCGCAAAGCGTGAAATGACCAATTTACTTGATAATATCGTAACTTTTATACTTTTTGATGAAATGCTTTGATACTCAAAATATTTATATATATAGAAAGAGTAGACAAGATGACATGGTCATCATGCACATGCACGCATATGCATGCACGTGCGCACGCGTGCAATGTGTTAAATGACTAATATAATTAATATAGGCGTAATTTTTATATTTTTTGATGAAAAGCTTTCATATTAAGAATATATAGGTATATTAAAAGTGTAGGCAAGATGATTTGGCCATCATGCACATGCATGCACATGTGCGCGCGTGCAATGTGTTAAATGACCAATATACTTAATATAGCCGTAACTTTTATATTTTTTGATGAAAAGCTTTGATACTATGAATTAACAGACATATTATAAGTGTACACAAAATGGCATGGTCATTATGAACATGCATGCATGTGCGCGTGCGCGCAATGCTAAGATGACCAATATGCTTGATTTAGCCGGAACTATATTATTTTTTGATGAAATGTTTTGATACTGAGAATATAAAGATGCATATATAGTATAGACGGGATGACATGGTCATCCTGCACATGCATGCACGTGCGCGCGCGTGAAATGCAAAAAATGACCAATATACTTCATTGCCTTATTTAATGAAGCTTACAGGAAAAAAGTCACCAAAAGGGAGTTGGGGAGCGTTTGGGGAACATCTGTAACGGTCCCCGTTACAATTATAACTAGTTGAAAGTATGATGCTTCACACTATTTCAGGAAGCATACTGTAGACTTTCTTCTTATACCTTAACACTGTATTTGTTTAGTGGAAGTCCTGACAAGATTGTTTTCTAAAAGAAAGAAAAAGGATTTTTTCAGAAAATATATTATTCATTTATTAATGTATCAGATCAAGTTTTAATTTTGAAATAATATGTAATCAGTAATGCATTATGTTTTAGGTGATGAGGTTGATAAATTGAAAATCCCAGTTGGTGGAGATCAGCTCACACGCGTTAGATTTGACGTGGCAAAATCTTTGAGAATGGGAACACATACAGCACAAGAAAGACAGGACTGTCTCTACCCCATAATTGTAGAACTATTTCACACTCAAATGGATTTTCTTGAGGTGTGTATAATGACAAGAATTTAATAATTCAGTAAAAGTCACACAATTACATATATAAAAAGGTATTGTATTCAATTTCTTATCTAAGTATTAAAATCAAGTCTATAATTATGCACTGCATAATAATGATGATGAGTCAGTGATGTTATTGACCTGGATTGTCAAAGTATATATTTGTACTCTATCCCTGTTAGAAAATGGTAAAACGGTTTATGAAAAGGCAGACAGGGAGAAATGTTGGCACCCTTGCCTATGTAAAATCCTTGATACAACGGGCAAGTGTTAATGGCAATGTTAAAAGTCGCTTTAAGGCCCATGAGGACTTTGTCATCCTGTTTGGAAGAGCCCTGCTATGCCATTTCTACCTTGAGTATTTTGATATGGAGTCCACTGATGACAATCCCAGGAAAAATGCAGACTGCATCCCTCCTAATGTTACACAGACACAAAAGAAAAAGAGAGAAGCAGTGTTCAATGAAGTTATGCAAAATGTTTTGAAGGAAATTTTTGGAACTCAAAGTTTCCAAGAGGTAATGAACATTTATGAATATATGTATATTTTATTTAATTTAATATTTTATTTTATTAAAGTGCACTTGTGAATTTCTGTATTAAATAGCTTTACTTTATAATGCAGGTATACCTTGATCTGTCAATCCAAAACGTTTTCAGTCATTCTTGCATTATCTGATTATGTACAAATACATATACAGAATGATGTGTGGCACACATCTGTACTAAGAGCTATAGTACATGTACATAATGATACATTCAAAATTTCTTTTAGGAGTCTGAGAAAAGGAAGTGGATATATCTTGACATTAATGGGGACACCCAAAAAGTTCCAATTGAAGAAGGATATGCCACATTTCATATCCAGTGTGACAAACAATACAAAGTACAGATTCCGAAATCAAGACTTGATCAAGGGAAAGTCATAGTCTTGAACATGTCAGGCAATATCTTTACTTTGATCAAAGCCAAAGAAGATGACCTCTTCAATTACATGCATTATTTCTTACAACATTATTTACTAATGATATTTATGAAGGATGCCATATATGAAGGTGACATTTTCAGGGTAAATATTTCATTGAAATTGATGATGCCATATTTCTATGACCATTCAAACTTATCAAAATGTTTAGTGGAATGCATAGACTATATCTTAAAAACTGAAATTTTATTATCGCCAAAACTTTCATTAGAAGTCCGCACAAGCTCATTTGTAAATCCAAAGGGTGGAATAGGGAACAATAAACCCAGTGATATGCAAAAAGAAAACCAAGTCAAAGAGTTGAAGGAACTGATCAAAGGCTTAAGATCCAATAAAACAGAGACTGCTATAGTTAATCTCTGCAAGGCTGCCCCTATAATTAACAGTGTTGTTAAAAATCTTGACAATCAAATTTTTTCTAGCGTGCGACGGAAAAGGGCGAGGTGATCCGATTGGAAAGGTCTTGTCACAAGGAATACACATGTGAAATATGAAAGTCATAGCTCCAACCAATCAAAAGTTATGGGCAAGGTTAAAGTTGACAACAGACAGACAGACAAACAGATAAACAGACAAACAGACAGACAGGGCAAAAACAATATACCCCCGGGATCTTTCGATCCGGGGGCATAAAAAAACAATATACCCCCGGGATCTTTCGATCCGGGGGCATAAAAAAAATGTTGATACCATTTTATGTTCAAAACATGTCTATCATATCAACTAATTACAGACATTTTACAGTACCGAGGATAGTTTTCATCACTTAACACGTACTTTTAAATACAATGTATACATATTATATATTAAACATTGCAAATAATCATGTTTTAAAGTTTTTGAAAATATGGAAAACTTGCCGTAAATGATTAAAAAAAATATCAAAACGACGACTAAGAATGGGTTATTGTGTGTTATAATTTTCAAAACTATGTTAAATAAAATACATATCAGATCTAGATGTCAGGAGTGCAACACAATAATGTAAAATAGGGTCACTTCAAAATCTAGTATTTTTTGTAAGAAAACTTGTACATGTATATCAAGATACTTTTTTTGGTTTATATTTAAAAAAATTGACTGAAATGGACAAAAAAGTAACATTTTATGGAAATTTGACACTGAGAAAGTAACAACACACGAGATTTTAACAGAAAAGTTTAAAATTGATAAACTTTGTGTTGATCTGGGCACTTTTAACAGTTGACACATTGGGAGTGTAGCCAGTGGTCTCATGAAGAGAAGCCCTGTACGCCGTCATTATGTATGGTAAGTGTTTGTCTCAATCAGAATGTGTTATGGTTAGTTGAATTTAAAAAAAAAATTAATTTGGTGGTCAGAACAAGACGTTAGTTACATTGTTTAGCGGTTAGCCTGAATAACCATCATTCTGATTGAGACAAACACTTGCCATATATAATGATGGCGTACAGGGCCTCTGTTCATAACTGGCTACACTTGTGTTTAGGATGCCTTGTCAGCACATATTCTATCCATTTCTAAATTTTCCGTTAAAAATGTGTTGTAAAATGTCACTTACTGCCTATCGCGCATCATTCTGTACCGACTTCTGCACCATTGACGTCAGTTCGTCAATAATACCGGTCGCCCAGCTCAGTTCTTTGCTTTCGAATTCACTCAGGTTGAATATTTTGTCCAAAAAAACATAACAAAACAAAAAACAAAACAAAACAAAACAAAAAAAAGTTATGCCTACAAAAAAGACAAACCCTGCATGGGGCATGTTTCCTTCGCACTGAGTTTTATTTAGTAGCTCAGCACAGAATTTTATGTTTACCCACTATTTACCCTCCAAACCGTCAAAATTCAGTTCATTTGATTTCTATAGCCTGTTGAAAGTTTTGATCTTCGTATTTCTTATCAAAATTCTTTCAAAACTTGCATAAAATAAAAAAATAAAATAAAAATAAGATAAACAAGATGTGTTTGTGAAACACAGATGCCCCCATATGGCAACTTATAGCGAAGGTTAAACTTTCTCAAATGCAAATCAAATATGTTCGTACCCAAAGTAAGGTCTTGTACCGAGGTATATACTTGTAAAATATGAAAGGCCTAGCAGCAACCATTGGAAAGATATGGAAAAGGTTAAAATTTTTCAAAAGTAAAGTTAAACATCAAGGTCAAGGTCAAAATTAATGGTGCCCAAGGAAAGGCCTTCTCACAAGAAATACACATGTGAAATGTGAAAGCCCTGGCACCAACCATTTAGAAGATATGGCCAAGGTTAAAGGTTTTCAAAAGTAGGTCAAACTCCAAGGTCAATGGTACAAATTTGTTGGTATCCAGAGGAAAGTCTTGTCACAAGGATTACACATGTGAAATATGAGAGCCCTAGCGTCAACCGTTCAAAAGATATGGCCAATGTTAAAGTTTTTCAAAAGTAGGTCAAACTCCAAGGTAAAGTTCAAAGGGTCAAAGTTGTTGGTATCCGAAGAAAGGTCTTGTCACAAGGATTACACATGTGAAATATGAGAGCCCTAGCGTCAACCGTTCAAAAGTTATGGCCAATGTTAAAGTTTTTCAAAAGTAGGTCAAACTCCAAGGTCAAGGTCAAAGGGTCAAAGTTGTTGGTATCCAAAGGAAGGTCTTGTCACAAGGATTACACATGTGAAGTATTAAAGCCCTAGCACCAATTGTTCAAATGTTATGGCCAAGGTAAAACTTGGAAAAAATTTTGCAAAACTTGGTCAAACTCCAAGGTCAAGGTCAAATATGAGGCCAAAGAAAGGTCTTGTCACAAGGAATACACATGTGAAATATGAAAGCCATAGCTTTAACCAATCAAAAGTTATGAGCAATGTTAAAGTTTTTGCGGGCAAACAGACAGACGGACGGACAGGGCAAAAACTATATACCCCGAATCATCGATACGGGGGCATAAAAAGATGACGCATATATCCCCACTTACAATGGATCAAACGGGACTTAATGCGTACGCATAGTGCTAGTAGTGACAGATACTCAATAATGAGACTACATTGACTTGTGATACCGCGCTCTTAGAATTAGATACGCTAGACTTGTATTTCCGCTCTTCTGCGATATGCAAGACTTGTAATACCACTCTTCTACGATATGCTAGACTTGTAATACCGCTCTTCTACGATATGCTAGACTTGTAATACCGCTCTTAGACCTAGATACGCTAGACTTGTAATACCACTCTTCTACCTAGATACGCTAGACTTGTAATTCCGCTCTTCTACGATATGCTAGACTTGTAATTTCAATCTTATTTTGTAATTTTCCTTCATCAGATGTTTATAATGAAAGATAAAAGAGAGCTTTTTCAAAAGACAATCAGATTAATATTGCTTCATGAAAAAAGATTTAGATTTATCTTTTCTGAATGTAGATAGTCATGTGTAAATAAAAGTGCGTTTTCCAATCTTTCTGGAGATGTATAAGCACTCAGAATCTCTATGAGACATTGGCATGTTTTTTTTTTCAGTCTTGAAAAATCCACAATGTCCGTCACCTGCATACACCTACATCATATGCATGTTCATACCGACTCTTAGACACTAAGATATGTAATTTCGTAATTAATTTTAACCTTCGTACCAAATAATAATAATAATGTGATATATAATTACAATAAACATCTAAAATTTCACCTTTAGTATGCATATATTTACCGGTATATCATGCTGAAATTATCAAAGCAAATATATATCCTTTCAAATCACGTAGAAATTAGACAAAATTTCGAGTCATGATCCTCATAACAATGATAAGAAAAGCAAAAATACAACATAGATTTAATTTTTATACTCTGTAATCAATTACAAACTACATTTAGTAAAGATGCTTGAGAAAGACTCTTACTTTAAAGTAAAGGAAAACATTCAAACAGTTGTAATGTGGAATAGTTAGCCAACAATTTTCAATACCTTTTAAGCAGTTTCAATAATTGCCTGTTTCAACTGCCAAAAGTCATACATACATGTACACATCTTGATGAATAATTTATACAGTACAAACATCCATTAAATTAAAACGTAGGTTATCACGAAATTCAGACACAACATATCATTAATATAAAATTAAGGTGGCACATCCCTCTTCAGGAAGGGATAATTAACTGAAGTTGCATAAATCATTATGATTCCTTTATCAAATTGTTATCAACAAATTTCTTATCTCCTTTTTTGGCTCACTATGGTACATGTACACTAAATTTGCTGAAATATCGTTTTTTTTTAATTTCCGTATCCTGCAAAAAATCTTAAACTGAAAAATTCCACATTAGTTTAAGCAGAGTGACAATCTCCCTTAAGTTCATAGTTATTCACTTGTCAGTAAAGGCTCCTCTAAACTTAGACAGATTCATTTTTATTACCTTTAAAATTATTGTGAACAAAGCAGTATATTTTTGTGTGCACCTTTAATAATTGATAAAATGTAAACGAACAAAAATACACAACAGTATCGTTTTTTCCCTTCTATTTACATCAATTTATAACATACTTTTTATAAAGCAAACACTACATTTAAATAATTAAACCTACATATACAAACTTATATACAGCTATAACAAGATCATCACAGTTTATCTTAAATTGTCCACTCTAAGTCTTTTACTCATGATACTTAAAGATGTTTTCAAGGAAAAAAATAAGCAGCCATAGACCCAAATATCTAATATCTGGAAAGCTCCTGAAAAATGAAATTCTTCCTAAATATAAATGTCTGGAAAGGTGCGTCATCACATATCGACCCACAACAATCATTTATACAGATCAAATACAAACATATCACAGGGATAAATTGTTGATCAGAAATATTTGTCCGGATTCCAGACGTATTTCTTTGATCGGGGTCGGGATTTTGGTCGTTCAGTTTTCTGGTATTTCGGAATCGGGTTTGGATGCCATGGTATAGGGTTGTAAAAACTAGGTGCTGGGTACGCGCCGGTGTCGTGGTAACCTGAAAAGAAAAGAAATAATTGAATTTTACAGATTGTAAATTTATAATTTATCTGTCCAAAAATCTATCAACTATTTAAAAATCAGATAAAATAACAATGAAAACAAGTACAAATAAATAAAATTGCTTGGTAGTGTTTCGTCGTGTTTCCAATCAGTAGGATTTTCCTTAAAATCGTGTAAAAGATGAAAAGGGAATACTAAATTATATTCTAACTGAAAGTATTGAAATGGAATCGCCTTTAAAAGAAAATTGTCGAGCCACAAAAAATATTTAGCTGAAAAATAATTAAATGGCATCTTTGCACAAGATAATACCAAGGAATATTCAGGTAGCCTTCTCCTTAATGCATCTATTATACATAAAACTGAAACTCGAGTATTTGCTAAAAGGTCTATTTCTATACATATAAGTATTTGATGGATGTATATTTGCAAATACATATTTGTGTTCTCATCGATAATGTACTGCTGTAATAATATTTTGATTTTTGAGCATGATTACTGCGTTGATCACTATGCTTCAAACAAGGACCGTATAACTGTTAAAAAAATGTTTGTTTTGCAATGTCGTATGTAATGATACGTATGTCATGACGAATTTTTTGTTTGCCGACTACAGACTTAACAGCGCTTAGTTTATTAATCAGCACTCGGCCTTTTCAAATCACTGTATGGATGAAATTCATCAGAATAACCGAACGTTAACAATTCATCGCGGAAAGAGTATAGACCTATATTTAACACAGAATGTAAGTGTTTGTTAAAAGTTGTCAATTCAAGGACACATGCTACAAACAATAAATTGAATGCATGGATTTTATTTTTGGACTTATTTTGGATGCAAATGATACTTAAATGATATTGCTGAAATACTAAAGAAAATGTAGACTTTCTATGCTGTTAATATTTTCTTTTTGCCATCGCCCTTATAAATGTATACATCTTTTAATCACTTTATAGGACATTACTAGGAGACTAATTGTTCAGAGAACAATTAGAGGCCTTTCCACCTTATTAAGTGTTTCCGTGTCATTTGGGTTGAAAAAAAGAAGAAAAATGCAAAAAATGAAAAAAAAAAAAAAAAAATGCTTCTCCAGCTGGGCTCGAACTCAAAACCCTTGGGTTGAAAGGCAGGTGCGCTAACCATTCAACCACGCATTCCGATAACATACGTAAGTTAATTGTTTAAGACTATAGAAGAAATGCAAGCGTATTTTTAGAATCGGTAGGGGAAGAAAGAAGTTCCGTAAAAGGAAATAGTTCCTGAACTTGCAAGCAGTATATAAAATAACAAGGGACGGGCTGCGTGAGAAAACGTTAACACTGTTCCCTAATGAAAATGTATTAATGGACTGTAAGCCCGATTCATCGATATTGTGAGCATGCTGAATTTTTTGTAAATAGCTTCGTTGTAAGCTTAAAAGATCGGGTTCGGATTTTAACATTTCTGACTGAATATCCTGAAATAAATATGAAACATTTAAATAAGCATTTCTTTGGGTTAAATTAAATATGTGTAGCCCAAATTAAATTCCCAACATGCATTTTTAGAAGGGAAACACGACAATGAAAGCGAGAATTGTTTTTAATATACCGAAAATCGCTATTTCTGGAAACTGATTAATTCTAAATAAAAATCAAATAAATTCCAAATGTAAAAGAAAGAGAGAATGCTTGGTATTAAAATGTCGTATCATATCAGGAGAATTAAATGCTACTAACGACATCTGAAGAAATAGCCGATAAAAGGTTTAGATCATTTCTTCGTTCACCTGCACTTAAATTTCAAACACAACAGAACTTGTAGTTTTTGCCGTGAAACTTCATGACTTCTATAAACTTATAAGACTCACCGTAAAACTCTCCAGAAAGTTTCTCTGAGGTCTATACTACATTTGTACCAAATTTGGTGTCGATCCGAGGTCTGGTTTGAATTCTAGAGTAATATTCTACATTGTTGTTGATGTGATTTTTTTTTTTAAGAAGGAGGGGGGGTGAATTATTTATCTTATGCCTCTTTTAAACTACGAATCGTAACTACTTCCACATCCTTAGGCCTTATTGTGACCTTTGAGTCAAGGTCAAAGGTCAAGGTCATTCAAAAAAAAAAATCTTTACCTTCTGTATTTTTACCTGATACTGGAGCTGGATGCATGTCCTAACTTTTCTATTTGACCCAAGGTCAAAGGTCAAGGTCAAAGTTCAGGGTCATTTGGTGAATTGCTATATTTTACACATATATAAGGGATTTCTTATGTTTTTAAATGACCTTGACCTTTGACCTTGACCTATATTTCAAGGTCAAAGGTCAAATATGCCGATGCAGTTGGTCCCATGTCTCTAGGATACACCGTTTAAAAAATAAGTTCATTAAATGTAAGTAGCGTAAACTTTCAGGGGCAGTAACTCATACAAGGGACCAAAGAATGCTTTCGCAATGATAGAATGAAGAGAGTACTAAATGAGTCGAAGACACTGATGAAGGTTTGGAATCTCTACGGTTTACGGTTTCGGAGGAGTAGCGATAACAAGGTTTTGTTGCAAAAGGGGTGACAACTTTTGAATGGGTCAAGCTCGGGGGACAAGAATGAAATCTTTGAAATAGTTTTAGAAGGACATATTACAGATGAAAGGTATTTAGTGTATGTTGAAAGACAACAGAGATATTAAAAAAGCTAATTTTCTCATGTTTTGAATGACCTTGACCTTTGACCTTCAAAAAAATTTCAAGGTCAGAGGTCACAAAATCTAATGCAGTTGGTCCCATGTCTTTACGACTTATCGTTTAGAGAATTTTGTCATTATTCGTAAACATCAAAAACTCTCAGGGGCAGTAATTTATTAAAGGGCTCGACAAATCGTTTCGCAATGAAAAGATTGAAAAGTCCTCTCGAGTAATCGAAAACATTGGTGAAGGTTCTGTATCTCTACGGTTTATGGTTTCGAAGGAGTAGCGATAACAGGCTATTCTTGCGAAAGGGGCAATAACTTCGTAAGAGGTCATGGGTCAAACACGGGGGGTCGTTTTTCGAAATTACTTTTTATATCCAGTATCATGAACTATAAAGTTTTTCGATAAGTCTTGCGGTTTCAAAAGTCCTGGTGAGAAATAAAATAATAATAAACATAAGCATTTCAAGAGGTCTTTCCACAGAAAGGTGGAAAGACCTAATTAAGAGACCTTGAATATGAAAAATGACCATTCCGATAAACTTATTCATTGTATACATGTACATTTATAAACAGAGATTTAGTTGTTATTTTCATGATTATTAAAAAAAAAGTTTGCATCATTTGTCCTTAAAAAAGAAATGTATCTTTGTTTACTTTCTGTAACCCCTATTTAAATGTCCCCAGCAAAAGCGAAAGCCGGTATCTTTAATTTTACCTTTTATTGATTAGTGATTTAAATCGTCACTGTCCGTTAATTCTGTTTTCACTATGGTTGCTAATGTAAACAGCTTCCTTAGAGATTGGATTGCTGTCTGTTGCCGCGTGTGAGGGAGATTATTTTCCTCTGCTTATTGTTTAAATTCCTGGATTAATCGTGCATTAATAACTCCAGGTATGACAATTCTCTTTTTTAATAATTTGTAAACGTTAGCGCAATTTAATCCTGTGCTATTGTGCAGCTGGTTTCGCTATAAAAGTGTGCGGTGTTGCACACATTGAATTAGCGTGTTATTGCGAAAATGTTTATCACGGACACAAACAACAAAGATCAAAATGTGTAAAAGCAAAGGTGTTACTTGTTTTACCTATATACAAAAGGGAAAAAAACCCAAAAACTAAATTTACCAATGTTTATCTAAATTTGAATTCATTAAAAGGACAGCAATTGCCGAGCCATCTGTTTTATTGATTTTCCCTTCTTTATTGTGTTCAGTCAGACCCAAACATGATAATAGTATTTGATATAATTTTCTAGATGGCATCACTTTGGGAAAAGTTGGTGGAGGCCATAGAAGGGAGCAAAACAGAACAGGTGCGTGCCGCATTAGAGGCAGCAGACAGCACCGCGCCTCTTCGATCCACCACAGGAGAATCTCCTCTTCATGTAGCCGTCCGCCACCGTGCCACACCAGAAGTATTTAAAATATTGTTAGAAAACACAGATTTTTCCGCCCGGGATGTCAGTGGTTACACGGTGGCGGATCTTGTATTTTCCACTGAGGGTCTGAATCCAGATTACGAAACAATACTTGTAAATCATATTAAGGCATGGATTCTAAGGGGACGTGTAAATGAACTGGAGAAGCTGCTTCTATCTGGTTGGTTATTTTGGCCTGTTACAGTTGAGCAAGCAAGAAATGTTTCCAAGGAACTGGAAGACTTCATCACTAACATCCGTCAATTTCAGGTTCGAATAAACTTTACATAATATACTAGTACTCGACGATAACAAAATGTACTAATCGATAATAAAATGTTATGCATAGTCAAATACCAAAACAGGTAGACAAATGCTGTTTTAGGGATGATTTTTTTTCCTTTTGAAACTAAAGGGAGGGGGAACCAAGGTACATGTATAAATCATCTTGACTTGACATTTTGCAGGAAAAAGTAGAACAATTGCACAAAGCCATTCAAGACGAAAATCTCCGAGATATCAAACAGATACTGGACCGGAAAAAATTTATTCTGGCAGCCGACCGGACCGGACTCCCTCCTTTTCACAAGGCTATAGTAACCGGAAATGGAGAAATTATTGAATGGTTTTTACAGGAATTCAAATTTGCCATCGAACACAAAGATAACGTAAGATAACTATCAGAATATTACAGCTTGCGTTTCATTATGTATTTGTTATTGTGAACTGCATTCTGTGATAGGCAGAATTTGAACATTCCTCAACAAATCTAGGGGTGGGGGTGGTATGAGTATTAAGTCAATAATCATTAATTTATAACAATTTGATTGCTTAAAATATTCAGGAATTATGCATGTTTTATTTACAGATGAAGAGAACTGCGCTCCATTATGCTGCGGGTCTACCTGATGCCGGCTATATCTACTCAATGCTCACTGCCGCAGGTGCAAAAGAAGACGCAGTGGATATGGTAACTTATTGAATGATATCATGTCCAAATTGCTGAAATCCATGACCACAATTTTGATTCAATTTCTGATCAACTTTGATTTAAGAATTGCCTCCTTTTATGACATAGGCGGGTCTTACACCAAGAGATATCTATGACAATACGGAGCATCTACAGGTTACGAGGGTCCGCCAAAATATAGAGGAAATTCTAGCTAGGCCAATTCCAGAACCAAAATTAGCCGTTTCCGGTTCTCATCAAATGTACATATCCACTAATCTCAAAACAAAGCGGGTCCCTCCTCCAACCACAATCGACGGAAAATATGTCGCAGAACACTTGGGAACGGCCTTGACCTTGGCTTTGGCAGAAATTGCTGAATGTCGACCTTGGGATCCGATCGAGTATTTAGGACAGTGGTTATACAAGTACCGTGAAAATAGGAACTACATTGACAGGGTACTGAAGATTACTGATTTTTAATGTAAATTTAAGAGTCAAGTATAAATGTAGAAAAAATATTAAAAAGCTATTTTTTTGGTGACATCATGAGCTATAAATTTTGAGTGTCTAAATCAGTACCACGTCTTGACAAAGAATTAATTTAGGATTGTAATTCAATCCTCACATGACTCAGTCATACGATTCCTCTTGTAAAATGGCAGATCTAGTGAAGTGGGTGTGTGTAAACAGGAGGGAAGGGGGAGGGTCAAACAGATTTTAACTAGGATACTGTCTGCTGTATAAAGGAGGGGATGAGGAAAATTCATTTACAAAACCTACATACAATGCCATAGTAGTACATGTACACTCTCGAAAAAGCTCTTATAATAGAGATGTACTATGTCACTTTTTCTTTCAGCAAGAGCAATTAATGGCAGAAATACGAGAAGAAGAAAAACAGAAAGAAGCTGAGGCAAAAGAGCAGCAACGAATCAAAGAGGAGCAGGCGGCCATCATGGAAGCAGAACGTAAAGAGAGGGAGAAGGCTGAGGAGGAGAGGAGAAGGAAGGAACAAGAGGAACTACAAAGACAGTAGGTCCAGATTGAAAACACTGAAGAAATACATTGAATTCTAAAATTTTATTGTCATTTTTACCTTTCATGGATTCAAGAGGACATTATCACTAAGTGATGGTATCAATTAGATTAAATTTGACTGTTTTATTTTAGAAGCAAGGTCAGGTCAAGGTCATTACTTTTTCCTTGACATTTAGAGTAAAAAAATTACTGTTGCTAATCATGTGATGCCTACATCTATTTGAAAAGATAAAAATCAATGTTTTTTCTCTTTGCACAGAAAGATGTTACCATATCGGGTCTATCAGATTATTCTACCAAAATAATTGACATTATTTAATTTAAATAGATACACTGTATCAGCTTATCAGAACTTCCTCTGTTTTTCTTAATTTTTAAGGATATATTAGTTATTCTTATATACTTCTCATATTTAAATATTTCTTATTTTTACATATGGTAAAGTAGTCATATAAATATACAAAATGATACAAAAACAAAAAGCTTTGACCATTTAGTAAGAGAGAAAAAACACTTTTTACTGATTTTTTGCTCAAATCAGTTTTTAGGTTGGGAGCTTTCAAAGGCTAACAAGATTGTAGTTTGTTTAGAAAATCATATTATTTGCTATATCTTAAAACTTTAGGGCATTATTACTAATTTTTGTTACATTTCAAAATTTCTTTAAGTCTTTGATTGTTTAAAAATTTTAACTCAATGTATTGTTCTGTAAGTGATTTTGATAGGTAAAAAAGGAGATATTTTCATATGCTGCAACTGCGTCAAAAATATAGTCCCTGCTGGATTTCAAACTCAGTTTACCATTTCTATTTAAAATTGTACAATTATGATGAGTAAAGAAAAATATGATCTTTTAAATACATTACAGCTAAGTATATGACATACAAGCAAATATACTTGGATTATTTCGTCTAGTCAGAAACCAGACAAGAATCCCTCTTTAAGGGGATCTTTTCTGATGTACATGTGACATAAGGATCAGGTAAGAAAAAGCAAATATATCTTAATTTTTCAAATGTCAATCCAGAGCTCGAGAAATGGATGCCTTAGCTCAGAGACCCAACCTGGACACAGTGACAGAGGAGAGTGAGGAAGAGGCTAATGGAAAAGACAAACAGGGACAATCTGAACTCCACAAACTGGCAGCTCAGGAGGGTAAGTGTGTGTGGAGAGGGTAAGTGTGTGTGGAGAGGGTAAGTGTGTGTGGAGAGGGTAAGTGTGTGTGAAGTGACAAGAAGAGGCTAAATAAGTAAGCAAGGTAGGATAAAAGTGTAACAGGCTTGGAGCATTTCGGTACAATGCAAGTGTGACAAGCTAGGAGAATGCAAGTACGGCAGGTAGGAAAGTTAAATATTGCAGCTTTGTGCACTGCAAATGTGGCAGCTCATTTGTCTAAGAGTGTATGTTCTGCTCAGAGTGGCATCTCAGCAGAATGTAAGTGGGGCAGCTTAATAGAGTGCAAGTGTGGCAGGTCAGTACAGTGTATGTGTGGCAAGTCATGAGAGTGTAAGTTTTGCGGCTCAGTAAAGTGTAATAGTCAAAATGAACAGTAAGAAAAATGAGTAAGGGAAAAAAAACCCTGATTTTCATTTGTTTCTTTTATTACACAACAGGTGCAGACCTGACAGCTTTGTTAAACCTTGGGTATAACCTTGCTGAGAGGGACATTACTTGCAAGACTCCTAGAGACATTGCAGTAGAGAAGGGCATTCAGGAAAATATAGATGCAATAGGTAAAGATACACTGTAGCCACACTTAGTCACAAAGTCATTAAACAGAGAAGCAGTTGAACTTTGGATTTCAAAATCTATAATTATCTCAAATACCATGGATATGTCAAAGTAAGATGGTATCCCAACTACTATTTCTCTGCATGTTTTAACCTTGCAGACATCCCGAATACTCTGATATCTTAAAATTTTTTTTTTTGGTCCCAGCTAGTCCAAGATAACAAGGTTCTACTGTACCCTTTTCTACTTATTTTATTTACTTATGTTCACAGATAATTACCTTAAGGGACTAATAGAGAAAGAAAAGTTCAGTTCATTAGAGCAGCTCATGCTAGATGGCTACACAGAATTCCAGCCAGTTATAGACAAACTTAGTTCTGAAGGTCAAACCGAGGAGGTCAAAAAATTCCTACAGTCCATTCCTGATGTCCAAGTAAGTAATCTCTCGCCTTGTTTATCATACCCCAAAATTTTTGTTTGATTTCTCATGCTCAAGTTTCATTTGTTGCACAAAACTGTATTCATTTACTAGTATGTGTATTAAGCTGTCATAATCACAGTCTGTTAAGGTTATTGATCTATGTTGAATACCTGCCACCCAAAAATTAGTTCTTAGTCAAAAATGTTGAAACTATTAATTACAGTGGAAGCTATATAACCTCCTTCATACAGAGATTTGATTGCCTGTATTCACTAGTATAGACTATAAATGTGAAGTTGTGACAATTCTATAAAAAATTGTTTTTTAGTCAAAGATAAGCAATGTGTTACTGGCTGCACAACAAGGAGATCTGACAACTGTTCAACAACTACTGGACAAGAAAATGTCTGTCATCAAGGACAACAAAGGACAAAGTCCTCTGCATAAAGCTGTGATCAGGCAGCATAAAGATGTCACAGAACACATAGTGACAGCCTTCCCTCATACAGTAACATGTAAAGACCAGGTCAGTATACAGTATACAGATAGTATACCCCAAAGCAGTCAAACAAAACAGTCAAATATCAGACAGCATAAAGATGTCACAGAACACATAGTGACAGCCTTCCCTGATACAGTTACATGTAAAGACCAGGTCAGTATAGAGATAGCATACCCCAAAAGCAGTCTAGTATCAGACAGTATACCCCACAACAGTAAATTATCAGAAAGTATATCCCACAACAGTCAAGTATCAGACAGTATATGCCACAACAGTCAAGTATCAGACAGTATACCCTGACTATCATCAAAAGTAGAGATTTTTAGAATGGTTAGCATATCCTTGTGTGATTTGTTATATATTTTCTCTTCATTGTGCTTGTATATGGTAATTTTTTCTTACTTTCTCAGATGAACAGAACACCATATCATTATGCTATGGGACTTCCGAGTAGTGACATTCAAGCATTGCTTCTATCTAAAGGAGCAGATGAAAATGCAAAAGATGTGGTAAGCCATAATTCTAAATATCTTTGTAACAATGGCCTTTATCTTTAAAATTTATAGTGAACAATTTTGCATCATATAATTACAGTATCAACGAGTTCCCTCTTACTACAAAGAGAACCCAGCAGATATTCTGGCATTAGCCAATGAGAGCTCAACATCAACAACAGAGCAGGAAAGAGCTGAAGACCAGTCAAAACCACAGGATGAGGAGATCCAGTCAAAACCACAGACTGAGGAGGAACAATCTGAGGACACAACTACTCAGGAAGAGTCAAAGGACACTCAAGAGGAAACAGATCAGACAGCTGTGGAGCAAAGCAAGAGTCCTGAAAATCCAGTCACCACATCTTAACATTTCAAAGTCCAAAACAATGATGTATTTTTGTCATTACTATAAGGTACCTAGGTTATAAGTATATGGATATATGGTTTAGCATTTACTCCCAATCTAAGTATATGGATACATGTTATGGTATAGCACATCCTACTTGTATTTTTGTTTACTACTCACAGATACTGGCCTCTGGCCACTGTTCATTTTCATCAATACTGGTACCTTAAAATAAAAAGCTTTTAAAAATCCCAAAATGTCTACATTATGGTACTATACCACTTAAGAATATTGAATATGTTGGGCAATTAAATCACAAATTTATATGATTTTCATGCATGAAGAAAATACAAAAAAATAATTTACATGAAAAATTACAAAATAAATCTGCTTTTTGTAACAAATTTGTTCGATTCAGATGTTTGAGCAATTTTTGTTATACTCAAAAGGGAGTAAAATGTGTCTGAAAACTAGACACCCTCCAAAACAACTGTTCCTTAACTCATTTTTAGTGTATCCAAATTTTGCCACAATGTTAGTCATGGACTCTGGTACAATTTTGAGTGAGTCGTATTACAATGTTGATGTTAAATCATATTTTAAAAATGTTTCCTAGTGTTCATGAAATAGTGCACTAATGATTGTGTCACAAAGACCCTGAAGTAGAAATTGCACTAAAACATATAAAGTATATATACACACCATTCCTAATACAAAATTGAGATAATTATATTTGTCCTTATTTTAGTTGATATGTTGTAAATGTTTATCACTACAATTTTATTTGTAATGTTATTTATAGCAATATATATCTAAACATTCTTATTATTGTTTTTCTTGTCATAGAAGTAGAGGTTGCATCATATGTTTCCTGTACTTTAGTCGTTCGAAATCATGGTGAAAGTCATGAATTTTCATAAGAGGAGTTTTGATTGGCTCAATTGTTGTTAAGTCTTTTTAAATTATACATTTAAATATATATTTTTATATTCTAAATCTGATGCAGATATTTCCACAATTCATTGTTATTGCTTTGGAAACAAGAGCTCAGTTATTCATTATATTTTTTATCTTACATGTATCTAATTAAACTAGATTTCTTTACAGGTTGTATGAATATACCTCAATGTTATCTAATTCTACATCATTAGGATATTTACATATTATATGAATTTTATTTTGTTAGAGGTTTGGTGTTATTTGACCACAAGTGTTTTTTTTTTATTCTACTCAAGAACAAATACAAATACCTGTCAAACCAAGAGAGCTTTATTATCTCTTACTTGATTGGTTAAGAGAACAAGTTTTTACCCAGGTACTTCTGCCATTCTTGATATCATTTTTTTTTTTTTTTTACAGTTTATCTCAGTCAAGTTGTACTATGTACAATATGTTAATTTTTTCTGTTCTAGCATTTAAGTTACCTTTGTTCAGTTCTTTTCTAGTCAGTTTGACACCAGAATAATTCATTGAATTGCATTTCAAGTTAACACAAACTGTTGATATGACATTTAGTGACTATTAAATACCATGACAAATTAGAATATTCTTAGGTTGTTAATGTTTGCACATTCATGTACGTGTATTTGTTATAAACTGCATCAGAAATTCAGCAATAATGAAATATGTTAAATTCCATTTCTATTGTTAAATGCTTTTTTAAATATGTATTATATAGAATTTTTCATATTTTGTATACATGTATTTTATACATTATATTAGCTTCAATTTTTTTTCTTTCTGAATTGTTTATAATTCCATGACAACAAATAAATTCTGTTTATGAATAATGGGTTTTAGTTATGGTTTAAATCCAAACTGTTTAAAAAGGACAGTAATTATTTCTGCAATAAGATAATGTACTGGAATACGAATATAGATGTATATAGCCTTATTTTTACATAGCAGAATGAATCTGTGAAAATAATACTGGTATGAAAATTATAGCTTGTACAATTAATCAAGGATTAGGATAGATACCCACAAAATTTAATAGGATATTGATGAAGAATTTTTCCTTGGAAGATATTAAGTAAGTTAAATTTTGGTACCTCCCTAGACAACATGGATATGTTAAAGTGAATTGGAAGTCGCAACCACGTTCTTTACGTTTTATAATTAACCTCAATATTATCTTAAATTTTTTTTTGGTCCAATCGAGTTTAGATTAAAGAGGCTTGACTGTATGAGCAAAAATCAAAGCTATAAACAGTAGTTATTATCCCCCTGTTTTACAACTTTCAAGCAAAAATGTCTTTGATTGAAACACCATTCAAATTTGTACTCCCGCAGTTATCATTGGGAAACATACCTGTTAATTTTCCCCCAGAGTACCCAAAGCTCTGACTGGATTTGGGCCGGTTCTTTGCGTTCCTCAGCCACTCCTCGTATTTCTGCTGGGCCTTTATTTTCTTACATTTCTCTGCTAACTCTTGGTCTCTCTTTTTCTGCATTTCTGTCTCCTTCTTTTCTTTTTCCATATCTTCTTTCTTTTCCCTCCATTCTTCAAATTTTCTTTCAGCTTTCATTTTTGTTATCTGTAATTTTGTTGTTTTGATTATCTTAGTTGTAGTTTAATCCAAACAAAGTCCTTGAACATGGAAATATTGCTTTATACCCGGTAATATGCAAACTCTGCATTGAAATCAAGAGCCATTAAAATTCAGAGCAAAAATATACTTAAAAAAATTGTGGTGCTGGTTTATTTAGAAGTAAATGGCATTAAAGAAACCACCTACAAAACTGTTGTTTTTACTATACCAGTAAAGTTATAAATTTAATATGATATCTGAAGTGGTATCTGAATTCTCTGAAATTAACTTTGGTTTGGATTCACTCCCACATTTGGTAGGTAATGGAATGAATAAACTTTATTAATGAAATCCACATAGGGCAGCCCCCCCCCCCTCCCCTTTCCTCACCATGTTCTGCTGAGCCTTTATTTCAGCTTCTGTTTGAATTCGTTGTTTTTCCAGTTTCTTTCGTAATTTTTCCTCGTAATTTTTCTGTTTGAGCCACTCAGACCGTTTCTCGGCTGCCTTTTCCTCCTTCTGTTTCCTCTCTATTGCCTTCTTCTCCTTTTCCTCCCGCACCTCTAGTTTGTGTTTCTTTAACTGTTGTTTTTTCACTCGTTCCTCCTTAGTTTTTTGTATTAGCCACTGTTCCCATGGAGACAGCCCTGCTCCCACATTCTCACTATAGTCTGTTGTGTCATAGTCAGATATTCTACAAAGACAGAAATTAATGAATTTTAAAAATAATCCTAAATAACATATACCGGTAGTTGATAAAGCAGTTAAACACTTCATATTTAACTATGGTAATGGATCTCAAAACGATTTCACTATTTGAAAAGTTTCTTAATATGGATTTAGACTTACAGTATCTGCATCAATGAACTTTTAAGAAGTTTAATTTAATCCCCTCCCAGCAGAACCCCCGAATTAAGTCCCCTTCACCGATTTGTGTAAATATTTTATCATTTACATGTAATGATTATGATTGATTCAGCCAGACTAATTAATGCACAAAATTATGTCCAAGTATAAATTTTAACATGATCGACCTACACTTGTTCTCGTGATATTTGAAATCCTTATGATTGATAAAAAAAAAAAAAAAATCTGTAAAAATAGTTTAAATGTAACCGTGGTAATACCCTTTTGTTTTCAATAATAAAAAAAAAAAGAACATATCAATTAAACAATTACAATTCAATTCAATTTGTTTATTTACCAATTAAGGGCCCTCATACATGTAGTTCAGGAAAAAAAATAAACACCAAAATGTATGTGTGTGCCTGTGTGGACTGAATGTCAACCCCCCTTCCCCCTTTCTAATATACGCGTAATCGCGTACATACATTTCTGATTCTATTAAATGATTAATGAAATGTGATTTAATGCAAACTTATACACTTGTTATAGAGGTTGGAGAGAATACTCGAAATCGGGTATTATCGTCGTATACCCTAAATTCGTCCATTCCTAAAATCGTCCTCAAAATTCACGCAGCCCGCACGTTTCGAACTATGTATCGATGACGTCATTTTTTTATTACACAATGATGCAAATATGTTAGCAATTATTTTTTTAGAATATGCAGTTTAAACTCGTAGTAAAATTAAAGAAAATAAAAATCCTTAAACTATCTGTTTTTTTCTTAGGTCCATTTTTTATTGAAAGTGTATACGGCAGTTACGTTCCCAAAAATCACTTCCAGATCAAATTTACCTTCATCTTATTATTTTATACCTGTCAATATATTGAATTACGTGCATGGGCTTTTAATTTAAGAATTTGAAAACAAAAATTTAATGCTCCCAAATCATAAGGATTTTATACACTTTCCACCTAGATATTGACGTTACCCGTGTTTAGTTGACGTATTATGCGGCCATGCGGGTATTACAGATTATTTCGGAAAAAAAATCTAAGTCATCACTGCAAATGATAGTCTCCAAAAATCAAAGATTTTACCAGTAACTTTGACTACTAACTGTGAATGCTTCCAACAATAGAATTTCTGTTGGTCCTACAAATGAAAACATTTTATATCATGCTGGTGTTTTTCTTTTTTCTTTCATTTTGTTGTTGTTGTTGTTTTTTTTTAATAAGTTGTATATAATCGAGATTTTTTTTTCCCTCCAGGAATATGCTATTAAATCGACAAATAAATAAAATCAATATTTATCGTACATAAGAATTTATCATACCCCCCCCCCCCTTTCATTTTTATAAACCAAGAATTTATTTTATCAAACAGTTTTTATTTAGTCGACAAAAGAAGGTGTATTTTTGTCACAATTTTTACAAGTTTCACAGGTGCCACGTGCATTGAAGCATAACTAATCCAGCGGTCGTCTACTGGGTATGAAATTCACGACATATTGATAATCAAGTAAAACAAGATCTTTACTGTCACTCTTTAATTAATTTCTCATCTACTACAGAGTAGATAAAAAGTTTTTTCTTTTCCCTGTAACGTGAATATTATACACATTATAATTAGGTGATCAATTCAAGTCTACGTCGTAACCCCAACCATTAAATTAAAATTTTCTGATTTTTCCAGATTGTATTGATTTTCTATCGGTTTTTGCCAGTAAGGCCAATGAATTTTGGAAAATCTGAAATATAACATTGTATAATTCGCATATCATGTAATTTGATGAGGCATGTATTTTAATGACATCGTTTATGGGTACTATAGGATATATCATAATATATCCATGAAATCGCGTACATCGTAACGTTGAATCTGCGAAATCGGGCATTTTACGTACAACTTTGTGTAAAAACAAAATAAATATATAAATAAATAAATAAAGCAACGGGCACATGGTGACAGTTAACACTATGTACATTCAAGCGTCGGAGGGGGGGGGGGGTGTTAACGACTTGCACGGAAGACACGACGTACAGCACGGTAGAGCGTCATTATTTGAAGATGTTACAAATACTTTTAACATTATGCATACAAAACAAGACCTGAAGCAAATAGGTACAAAATATCATAGGCACTCCCCATCTTAATTGTTAAAAAAAATACATATCTACTATACTATAAACTAATGTTTTTTAACAATTAGGATGGGGAGTGCCTATGCAAAATATCCACGATATAAATTATTGATAAAGTAGAACGAAGGGCACGTGTACAGCGCTGTACATACATCCACTTGTATATATAAACCGAGTCAACAAAAGTTGCATCTTTTCACCTCTGAATATTATGCTGTGTATATATACACGTAATGCTGATTATTTACTTGTAGGTTTGTGCTTATCGATCAACATTTAAATACCATGTTTAAACCCCCGATTTCCAACGGCTCCATAGCTCAGTTGGTTAGAGCGCCTGTCTAGTAAACAGGAGGTCGAGGGTTCGACTCCCCCTGGAGCCTTTTTGTCATTTTTTTTTTTTTAATAAAAATATAAGCAAAACCAAATCAGTATCAATCCACTTTTTCAATTTCTGGGGTATACACAATCAAGTGAGATGATAGTTTGTATTTTTTTGAATTAGTAACCATAATTGTTATTACATAAGGTCTCCGAAGAGGTAAATATGATGAAAAGCATGAAAATGACAGGGAAATATTAAATTTTATGGGCATAGGCCCTGTCACATGACTGTCTAGAACCTGATCAAAGAGAGAGGTACTCAACATTACCCCTTATTGAATGACAAACTGTTGTTTTCTTAAGAGAAATTTATGCATAAAACACATAATTTCAGAATCACATTATCATATCCAATCAGTAATGAGGCCTATAAATTAAAGCTAGGGCAATATATAACTATCAAAAGAGCAATAGCCAAGTAAGCATTATCTAAATCTCTGTTATAAATGAGTGTCAAAGAAGAATAGTATATTAATTGCTATCAGAGGGCTTTCAGAAGTTACATGTGTAGAGAAAATATATTTTCATGAGTATGCCATTACAAAATATATATACAGTCAAACATCTTTATCTCAAACCCTATGGGATCATGAAAAAAAACTTTGCAATATCTGATGATTCGAAAAATGGAGGTTAAAATACATTTAAAAAAAGGGGTTGGGAATTATAACTCACTTCAACATATCAATGGTATTTGTCAATGAGATATCGAAGTTCGAAATAAAGAAGTTCAACTGTATATACATGTTTTCTCAAGTCAGTTACTATGTTATCTTAACCATAAGACATTCAAAGGAGAGTTATAAGCAAAACAGGTATTGTGTAAAATAATACCATAATTTTCATATTTATATTAAGGTCATATGCAATGTACCTTGCAATAACTGTACAATGTACCTTACCCATTTTATTTTTTCAAGATTTATCTGGTATTTCCTCAGAATTTGTTTTAGAAGAGATATATATTTTTTTAGATTTTAAAGTCACACAAGTCCTTCAAGCATTGGAAGTCAGGAACTCTTCATTTATTTGGAAAATAAGAAAACGAAGTTCAAAACTACATTGCACGTCTTTAAAGAATAGTCATTTTAGATAAGGTAGATTCTTACCTGTCTTTCTGATGTGCTGTTATTCGATTTTTGCGTTGAACTCTGACCCTCTCCTGACTCTTTGCTGGTGCCCTCTCCTTGTAGGCTGACCTGTTTCTGGCTGTCCTGCGATCCTGCTGGACTGTCTTTTCTTCGTTTTCAACATTTTTGCGGATTTCTTGTCTTTCCCATTCATCTTCACTAATGTCTGGACTCTCATAACTGTCGTGATCCAGGACAGAGGTCAAGGATGCAGTGGATCCATTAGATTCTAGTGACCTTGACCGGCGGGGTATGACATGGGGCTCCATCCATTTCGGTTTTGTCACTGTAGCAGTAACTGGTCGAGGTCGAGTATTCATGTTAAATCATTCAATGATTAGTTTCCTGAAAATAAAAGTCTCATGATAACTGCTGTGAACCATTTTTAATATTAAATCTGTTAGACTGTTAAACTAGAAAAAGTTCAAATCTATGTCCAGTGATGCAGTTATATTCTGACAGCATTGGGTTCATTGTCAAAATCTAAAATATATGAATTTGCTAATTTGTTGCTATTTGTCCATTTATTGAACACTGGTGGTTATGGAAAACCAAACATTTTGGTATAAACTTAAATTCTGTCAATTTCTTCCTATATTTGTAATAGAATCTGTCAAATTAGGTAATATTAAGCATTTATGACCTTGATTTTGCAAAGTAATAGATCTTTCTATAAGGAAAATAGATTGACGAAATCAAATTCTTTGAATGACATCATTTTTATGACTATAAAGTCTGTTTAAATACTGAGTGCAGCAAGGGCGTGAAGCAAGCTTAAGTTTATAGACTAGCTGATATGTAAGAATAGAGTAGACTTTATAGACTAGCTGATATGTAAGAATAGAGAACTGAAATATGTACATTCATCGAGCAAATTTTAGTGTGAAACCTTTCCAGAATTCCCTCCTACCAGCATTCCATGCGATTTTGGTGAATATATTAATCAGGCCCACAGTTATCCTAAAGCTTTGGCTCTTGAAGGAGAGAAAAAAGAAATAAAAAAATAATCACATTTACTCTACAATGCCTTAATTTGGTTAAAAACTTGCACTAGACCTATTTAGACTCCATCATGGATATTAGGGCTGGGTATTGGCTAAAGTTTCGTATTGCGATATTTTAAACTGTATTGCGATATGTATTGCAATATTTTCAACATAAATTTTAATGGTATTTTCTTATTATATTAACTTCCTTTTACATGTAGAATGTACATAACTTTGACAAATAATCAATAAAATATATCTTGTTGATTGAATATTACAATTGCGCAGGACTGTAAATGCGTACTACGAAGAAATCAACCGAATATGAACATGCATAAATACATATCTTTTTAAAACTGAATTTATTTTTGTAAAGCTACTATATTATCACATGACTTTAATATTAATTGAAATAACATTGTATACCCCGCTCTGTATGGAATTTGGTTTGGTCACGTTATTTGACGGTCACGTGATAAATGCATGTAATGTGTACTGTATGTAGGTCATAAACAAATTTCAAATTTTCAATATCACAAGGGCATACCCTAGTTAGAATAAAAGATTTAAGTAATAAATTATATCTATATATCTTGTAGTTTATGAAAAGTGCTGCTGCTTTAAATAGAATTCGCATTTTATTAGTTTAATTTTCAAGTTATTTGGCTCTAGTCGAAATATTTGTGACCTTTACCATGTATTTTATTTTTTTTATTTAGTAATGCTCTCGATTTCAGGAAAGCAGCAGCACTTTTCAAGTTAAGAAATGTTTCCGTTATGCATATTCAAAAAATGGTCAAAATCTATTAAGAGTATGCCCTTGTGAAAAAGTGATTTAATGAGGCACCTCGGCGTGAAACATGCAGAGAAACATATACAAAAACAGGGTAGAATTAATGATTAATTCAATACATTCTCTCGATAGTTTCTAAATAATGACACTAAACAAAGGTTTCAGATTTTTATTAATGATCTACCTAAAATTTGCAAATAATATTCTGTTTAATAATAAAATGCGTTTTTCACTGCGGGAAAATTACTTGATCCGCCTCTCATTGCACAGAAAATGCATCAAAATTTACCATGATGACGTTATGTCGACAAGTGCATTGTGATCAGTGACTTGTTTATATCTTGCTGTGTGGGATTTAACTAGCAACAAAAATGAATGCAGCGGTAAGTTTTGATGTAGTTCGTCGCTCTTATGCACTTTAAAACCGCAAATTATTTCATTTTCTGTTAAAAAATATAGCAATTCTGTTCTGAGGAATTGCTATATTTGTGTGATATGTCACAGTAGACATTTCCCGTGTAAATTAGGCCCCACCCCCTTTATGCAGGTTTACCAGAGCTGCGTGGGCAACTAAATACACCAATACAACAGCTTTTGTCTTACTGTTTAGATGATGATCGCGAACCTTTCTGACAACTTTTCTTTAAATTTTATGACAGAATTTGTGAGTCCAAATATTTTGCCGGTATATCGGTATTACAAAAACATATTGCGATACGATATTTTTAGTCGACATACCGCAATATACCAGAATATCAGTATTATTGCCCAGCCCTAATGGATATGCAACTTACAACACCATGACGTCACCATCTGAACTGTGTCTTGTGCGACTTTAAATTGGCGGATCAAATTTACAAGTGTAAGCTGTATGTGTAAAGGTTTTTTAAGTACAACTGCACTCGGCCCAATGGTCACACCATAAAAGATATCATTTTTCAGTTTGTTTGTGTTTTTTGTGAATAAAGAAAGGTAGGTTTTTGAAAAATAGGTGGACGCTAAACGGCTTGGAATGGGCTAAATGAAATACATTATATTTTGCAGCAACATCTTAAGTCATAAATAGCATGTTCTTTAGGTTTCTGTACACTGAAAGCCATATATAGCATATACAATGTATATATGTCTCTGTGTACACTGTATCATGTGTATCATATAATATTTATAGAAGAGTTTTGTGGTGATCAGCTGGTGATTGCAGTGAAAATATCAATCCTGTATAGAATCAAGCTACCGTGTTTCTCTGTAAAGGGTTGTGAAAGTATCAGTCAAAAAATGCAAAATACCACTTACCTTGAAAATGTTAAAATCAACAAAAACAATGAGATTTACATTGTATTCGCATGTCAAAACACAAAATTTACTCCGGCGCTAACGTAAACAGGAAGTCAATTTTGTTGGTGTTTAATTGGATAAAAGAAATATATAATAAGATGATTTATTTAAATTTATGTCGAATTTGACTGGTACATATACACTAATTTCATCCTCCTTTCATCCTCAATAAACCAATGCGCCGATGAATAAATAAATAAATGATGATATTTTCTGCGGACCTGCTGAGATATGAAAGATGGCGACCCTGGCAACAGACGCAGTGTTTCGGGATAATACAATCGGTTAAACGTACGATTTTACTTCAATTTTGCTTTTCATGTGTGTAAATTATGTGGAGATATATTCTTTTTCATTTACACCTTCTCATTTAAATACGTAATGTCTTAATAATGGGTAATTATTTGATACTGTCCTTCAGAAGCAGAGTACCTGCAAATTAACATATGAATCAATCAGTCATGCACTTAGTGGGTTTCAGTTTTTATTTTAATGGATCTATCTTTGTCAGTCTGTATGGTTTTGGATAAATAAATGTATAGAGGTGCTAGTTAAATATACCTGCGTTTAAAATTTGCAATGTCTTGCTATTTAGTGCTCGAACTTGTAGGAGAATGCTAAAATAGGCTGCATATCTGCTATTCCATCCCATTCACGTTGTGAATAATATATAGTTAAAAATTAAACATGTCAATATTTGTGTATTCACAACAAATTACTGGACAGTAGAATATTGAATAAACTCTCCAGAATATATACGTGTATATATGGAGATATATATAGTTAGAATAATCTTAGCTGCAGAGCTGTATGTAGCGCTATGGTTTTGTATTTTAGTCTTTGACCATAACGCTACAGATCCTGTAATGCAAATATAGTGCAATTTATGGTGCAAGATTTTCTGCTCACTTTGGGGATGTATTTCGCCACTTTCCAGCATATTGTTCAATCAACTACCTTTCATTCGATCCTAATTCTAGACATATTCTATAACCATTCTGTACAATTATCCATCTCCTTACCCTTTCTAGTCATCTCTACAGACCAATAAACTCGCTTGTTGTGACTTTGTTGTCGGATGACACTGCATAAACCTGGATAACATGTAATATACATAAGCTTAAAACTTCTTATTCAGTGTATAATAATAAAAAATTGTACTTGTGATTGCTAACAGGCTTGACCTGTATTATAAATCAATCTCCAGTGTTTTAACTTTGTCTCAGATCCATGTACATTCTTCTGTATAAACTTATCATTGCTTTCGATTGTATTAGTGAGTGATTATTATCCCTTGTGATGCACATATTATTATTAATCCAACATTATGATCAACAAGCGTATTATTAATAATGATGCCTGACAATTTTCAGATGTTATGAAATGAGTTCAAGAATAGAAATGCCCCACATTGGGGACCAATCTTCCTCCTCCCTTCCTGTCCTGAGGGAGGGGCAGAACAGCCTGGTGTCCCCCAGTAGAAGTCCCAATGCCCTCACTCCAAGGCAACAGGCAGCAACATGGGCAGCTGATATTAGAAAAAGGTAATCCAACATTAATAGAATGCATGAATTCAAAGATTTTCTTTATCTGAATTAAAAAACTGCATTAATTGTTTTGTCTGTTAGAAAGGACATAGTATTACTGGGAAGTGTGAGTATCAAGTATCAATTAATTATTGATCTGATTTTTAAACAGAGTAAATCAGTGTCTAGAGTTAGGGGAGGAGCCCAAAGAGGGGGATGTTAGTGAACTGAAACAGGAACTTGTGGGTGTCTTCATCACAGCCCTCCAACAAAACAGGTCTGATAGTGAATTATATATTTTTAAAACATGCTACACGTTTATATTGATGTAAAAATTAAATCCTCAATAATTTGTTTTCATTCATACTGATCAAACTCTTTAATTTAACGTTTGGTAATATCATGGGTATAAGTGAACATGATGATAATTTTTGTAATAAGTGTGTTCTCAGTACTATATATAAACATACCAGTACATTGTTTGTACTGGTACTCTGCAGATGTGGACTTATTGTAGCATACATTCTACGTTTAGTGCAATTGTACATTAGTTATCGACTATATATATTAAGCACAAATATTGAAATAAGCTTTATAATATCTAGATTTGGCATATATGTGTTTGTGAATTAATGCACTAAGTGATTACATTTAATTAAGTAAGGCACCAAAATATGAAACCTGCTACAATAAGTACATATAAAAT